ACGATCATATATTAATTTATATGCAAAGCATTGTTAGTAAAAGGCCACATAAGAGTCGAATAGCACAATGAAACTCCAGCATGCGCACCTATTCAATTAAGACAAATTTCAAAGATGAATTTTTCTTTGTTAAGATAAAGAGTTGTAACGACTCAGAACTCTGTTAAAAGTTTAGGTTTAGAGTTAATATGTTGAACCTTGACCGTGTTTGAATTAATATTTTTAAGTTTGGGTTTAGAGTTTAGGGTTAATATTAGGGATGAACATGGTACAAGAACCCGTTGGGTCAGGTCAGGTTGGGTCGATTTTTTTAACAAAAATCAAGTTTGGGTCGGGTCGGTTTTTTAAAGGTGATGTTCGGGTCGGGTCGGATTTGGATTTAGGGTGAAAAGTACCCAACCGACCCAAAAAAATATAACTTTACTTTATATATCTAGGAATAATTACAATAATACCCATCTATATATCATTTTTTTTCCAATTAAATCACTGTTTTTATTGAATAAAAATAATATTTTTATTATTTCGGGTTTGATCAGGTCGGGTTCGGATTTATCTAAAAAAGTCGGATCGGGTGAAGGTATATATTTTTGGATAGGGTCAGGTAGGGTACAAGGTGTAAAATTTTGGGTTGGGTCGGGTTGGCTGAAACCCGACCCAAACCCGAACCATGCCCATCCCTAGTTAATATGCTGAATCTTGACTGTGTTAAAGGAAAAATACTTTTAAGTTTAGGTTTAGAGTTTAGGGTTAATATGTTGAACCTTGACCGTGTTGGGTCAATACTTATAAATAATTTGATTTGTTTTAATCAAATATTTCACATTTTCTTTTAGTAGTAAAAGTTCTTGGGTCGAGCTTTAGTCGAGTTTGGACTAATACGGATGGGACTAGTTTGGTGATTTGGGCCTAGAAGTAGAACCCATCATGATTGGGCTTATTATGTTTTAAAATAAAGAGATTCATATTTTTGTAAAAAAACTTAAACGTTAATAATTTTTATTATTTTAATTTATTTAATAAACCATTTCAAATAACAAAATGGGAGTTTTAAATTGTAGGATACTTTGGTAATTTGAATGTGACACTCATGAATCTGTTAAGTATTCTGAATCTGGGTTGGGATGTTATAATATGTCTCAAGAAATACCGTTATGAAATATGAATATGTTCTATTTATAAAAGATTATATTATTATTAAAAATAAAATAAAATATTATTGTTATCCCTGTGGGTGGCATGAATTAAGGGTTATGTCTCGAAAAATGAGGACTTCTGGCAGATTGAGATTCCTATTAACGTTAGTTGGAGTTTTCAGAAGATTTTGAAACTTAGGCCGGTGGCTAGACAGCTATTTGATGGTGTGAGTGAAGATATAAAAGCTTCCAAGATTTAGGAGGACTTGAGTAGGGGTGTGCAAATTCGGGTACCCGGATTTTCGGGTACCTTTCCAGGTACCCGGAATTTTTGGGTCGATGATTTCTCGGCCCGTGTTCCGACTCGAATGTTATGGGTACTCGGTAATCGGGTACCCGATACCCAGTTTTTAATTTTTTATTTTTAAATTATTAATTTTAAAAAATATATACACAAATTTAAATGTTCGAAACTTCGAATTACATACTCTAATATCCGAACATAAAATTTAAAAGTTCGAAATACAAAATATAATAGTCATAATATAAATAATTCATTATATTTTATATAATTATATATAAAAAAATAAAATAAAAAAATAAAAACTAACCGGGTACCCGGAAAAACTAGATTTTGTGATCCGGGCCCGACCCGAAAAATGTCGGGCCGGATACCCGTCCCGGCCGGGTAATTTTTTTTAGAGAATTATCCAGTTTTTTAGATCCGGGTCGACGGGTCGGATCAATCAGGTCGGGTAATTTTGCACACCCCTAGACTTGAGGGTTAAGTAACCTAGAGTTACTTGGCATAAGCTTGTGTGGTTTGGGGGACACGTTCCCAAGCATAGTGTTATTGTTTGGATGGTCATTCTTGATCAATTGCAGGGAGAGACTTTTGAAGATGGGTTTAAATATGGATAGTACGAACTGTGTGATATATGGTAATATAGTTGAAACAAGGGGTAGTTTATTTATTTTTATTGTGGCTTTGCTAAGGAGTCATGGGAGATTGTCTTGGCTCTTTGTGATCTTCCTCGTCGTGCTAGATGTTGGGAGCGTGAGCTTGCTTGGGCTCTTTTGCACCTCAAAGGTAAGTCCCTCGTCACTGTGATTCTTAAAATTCCTTGGGGTTGCCAAATTATATGTATATAGTTTATGAGAATAATCAAAAACATTTATTATAATTTCGAACATTTTCACTTTTTAATAAGAATAACAAGTTTTATTAAAAAAAATTGTGATTGTAAAATTATGTCCAGTTGTTGGAAATTGAGTGAGAAAATACTAAGCCTATGGGGTATGGCAAGTAATTTCATGATGGGTGTGACTTTGATTTGGTGACTTGACTCAGAGTCTTCATTAATTCATATTTTGAATGCTAATTCGTTTGCCTTGGAATCGTTCGTAGAAAAAGGACGTTCAGACAGAATTTTAAAAACTGAATGCAGAATAGCAAATTTAATCTCAATGTTCTATTGTTTCTTATAAAATTGATAAGATTGCACGAATTAATCGATTGTTATTTCAACTTTAATTATCAAATAATTAAGAGTATATTATACTTATAATCACTCTAAATTAATTAAAAAAATGATAAGGACTGAAACGATAAAAGAAAAGCATGAGGACTTAAATGCAATTGAAGTATATGCGGTCAAGTTGACAGTTTTAATCCCAAATCATCCGCAAATAACGATGGGAAAGAATTGTGGAAAAATTCCCACAATAATTAAACTATAACCCTAAAGACCCGTTTGTTTGAAAATTGAAATATTGTCCTTTCAGAAAAAATGTTTGTGTGAATGTAAATGATTCTACTTGGAATAATAGAGTTATATTTGTTTGTTTATATTTACAATTATTTATATTTAATTTACGTTGATTTAAAATTTTAATATTATATTTGTATTTATTTGTTTATTTTTGAAAGTATTCATATTTGATTTGTTTAACGTTTACGAACACGTTCGCTTAACATTCACAAATATGTTCGTTAAGGTTAGCGAATATGTTGACACGTTGATGACATTATGTCACTAGTCCTCAAACTCTTTAGGCTTTATTATTTGAACTTTAAAGTTTACAATGTGTTTAATTTAGTACACACTTTCACTAATATTTAAAATATAAAAAAGATAAAAGGAAAAGAAGAACCGAGTAAACAAACTAATAAATGAGTCGAAAAACAAGCTTATGAATGAGTCAATAAACGAGTTTGTTCGTGAACGTAAACAAATTAAACATACATCTATTCGTATTCGTTCGTTTATTAAATGAACAAAAAAAAATCGATCATACTCGTACTTTTTAACTTAATAAATAAACATAAACAAATGACACATGAACATTTCATCGAACGGTCTATTCAATTACATACTTAGTCGTCCAACAGTTGCAGATTCAAGTTTATGACAATAAATCCACCAAGGGATTATCTTATCTATCTCTATTTAATTTTGTATGAATATTAAAGATATTTCTCTTACAAATATCGGCATGATCTATTATTGTTCAACATTATTTATATCATTCTATCTTATTTTTTTATTATTATTTTTGTATTCTAAAAAAATAGTATATTATTTTTAAACATAATCTTAATATATATATATATATATATATATATATTAGAAGATGTTAAATACATATACTAAATTTATAAGGGATTCATAAATATTTTAGTAGTACAATTTCTTTTTTATAGAGTAAAATAATAATTTTTAAAATAGTGTTGAAGTAAAGCGGATATGCATTTATAAAAAATTAATTCACTATTAGTCTTCATTTGAAAAATAAATAAATAAATATACATACAATTAGCTGGAAATAGAAAATCGTGTGCTCTTGAATGCAAGTAATTGTGAAATTATGTCAAGTCATTGGAAATTTAGTGAGAAAGCTCTAAGCCGGGGGAATGACAAGTAATTCCATGATGATTGTTATATTCCCACTTTGACATTTGACAAGTCTTCATTAATTCAAATTCGGCATGCTAATTAATTTTCTTGGATTTGTTTGTAGAAAAAGGATTTACCACACCCATCGTCTTATATTGACTATGTTGGGGTGAACGTTCGATCAAGTTGAATGAAAAAATTTCGAATTATTTAAGTTGATGAATCATATTTTATAACTCTAATTTTATTTGAAAAATTTTCGAGTCGAGTCGAGCTGAGTTGTTCGAGTTTATGTTTAAATTTAATTGTATATATTCACAATATTATGAAATTATTTTATTAGAGTTTAAATGATTTTCTATAATCATATACAATACATATACATTTTTTCATACTTTTTAACACGTGATATACATATATCATACAAATTTGAGGGACTTAACTCAAACTTAAAAATTAATCCACTAATTATTAAAAAATTTGAGTTATTTGAGTCAGTGATGGATCAAAGTGGACGGATGGGGGCATATTTATTAAAAATTTTGAGTTATTCGAGTCAGGGATAGATCATATATTTTAGAATTTTCTTTTTTATTTTCTATTGATAATTTTGTCTTTATCCCCTATAATTTTATAAGTTTGTTATCTCTTAAAATTTTAGAAATTCACCTCATAACATAAAATCTTGCATTTGTCCATGATTTGAGTTATTATTCAACTTCTATTTTATAACTCGACTCGAATTTAAAAAAATTTCAAGTTGAGTTTATAAAATTACGAGTCAAGTCAATTCGAATCGACAAGATTGATTTTTTGAGTCGAGTCAAATTTTGCTGGAGTAGTTGATTTTAATATTTGAATCATATTTATCTTTTCTTTGTATCATGTAATGTTTTATTTTGTGCCTATTTAAGCATGCTCTTTTTCTCCATCAGCCAACAACTTACATCAATTAAAGTTCCCTTTTCCTACTTTTTCTTTTATTTTCTTGGCTCATAAACATGAATCCTTGCTTCCATCTACTCTCTGTTTTGTGGATACAATGTTTCATAGTTTGCTCAGCTATAAGTCTCAGGAATCTCACCACTGATCAGTTTGCACTTATCCAGTTTAAAGATGGTATTGCAGATCCTCAAAATGTATTGGCTAACAACTGGACGATCTCTAGTTCAGTTTGCAAGTGGGTTGGTGTTTCTTGTGGTGCCATCCATGAAAGAGTTGTAGCTTTGAATCTTACAAACATGAATCTTACGGGTAATATTCCTCCACACCTTGGAAATCTTTCATTTCTACATTCTCTTGACTTTGGCACCAACCATTTCTATGGCCATCTGCCTAAAGAATTGGGACACCTGCATCGTTTGAAGGTCCTTCGATTAAGCTTCAACCATCTTAATGGAGAAATTCCATCCTGGCTTGGGAACCTACACAAAGTTAAAATGTTGGGAATGAGAAACAATAATTTCACAGGTACAATCCCTCAAACACTTGTCAACATGTCCAATCTAGAGATCTTGGACCTGAGAGTCAATCATCTGTTCGATCAAATTCCATCTTCCATCTTCAGAATTACCTCTTTGAAAGAGATTCATCTCGACGATAATAGTCTTTCTGGAAGCTTGCCCGAAGATCTGTGTCGCCATCTTCCCAAGCTTGAAGTACTTCGTTTGGGAGAGAATGAATTGTCGGGCAATATCCCATTACATGTAGGCAAATGCAGCAACCTTCAAATATTGACATTGCCTATTAATAAATTCAGTGGGACCATTCCAAGAAGCATCGGAAATTTAACACAACTCAAACAATTATATTTGGGAGCCAATAATCTACAAGGTATGATTGTTTTACGCAAATAGTTTAGTTTAATCACATTCTCTACGATTCACACCTACAAAACGGGTAAGCTTGACACCTTAATGTTCCCACTATGCTTGCAGGTGAAATTCCTGAGGAAATTGGCAACCTTTCTAGTCTGGAGGTGCTAAATATTCAACAAATTAAAGGCTTTATAGGTCAAATCCCGACTTCTATCTTCAATATTTCTTCTCTGAAAACTATTGTTCTCTCCAACAACAGTCTACGGGGTAGTTTGCCGGATGATTTATGTCACCGTCTTCCTAAGCTTGAGAAGCTTTATTTAAATATGAACAATTTATCCGGAAATATTCCAACAAGCATTGGAAATCTGACGCAACTCAAAATATTAGATTTGGCGATAAATAACCTACAAGGTACTGGTCTTCCTCATATTCTTTTCAAGAAAAATAGCTGAATAAATGTGCTTAAATGTGATTAGAATCAATTTCCGTACGAATTCTACGTGCATGCATGCCCGAAAAACCCAAGTCTTAGTTGGTATTGTATAAGCATAAATTAAAAAGGTTTCTCTTTTCTGTTTCAAACTAATCAGAAGTTTTATAGGTCCAATTCCGGCTTCTATCTTCAACATTTCTTCTCTGAAGATTATTGATTTCTCCGACAATAAACTATCAGGTAATTTGTTGAATGATTTGTGTCGTCGTCTCTCCAAACTCGAAGGACTTTACTTAAATACGAATAAATTGTCTGGTAACATCTCAAGAAGTATAGGTGAATGTTACAACCTTCAAGTTCTGTCATTATCTGTTAATAATTTAGGTGGAATCATTCCAACAAGTATTTGGAATTCAACTATGCTCCAGGAGATACATCTATATGACAACAACTTAGAAGGTATGTTGTTTCCTTTTTAGTTTTTTTCCCAAGTTCAGAAATATTTAATTTAGTTTTTTTTCTATCATATATATCCTCGTTATCGAAATGACCATCCAACTCAGTTGGTAGAGCACAAGGTTCTTAATCTTGAGATCGTAGGATCGAGTCCCATGGAGGGCATTTCAAAATTCGGAGGTCTCCTACGGAAGCTGCACTCAACCTAGTGTTGAGGGCAGCCAACTATCTTACCTCCCCCTTACCCCATTACATATGGGAACAAGGGACATCCATTTATATATATATCCTCGTTATCATCATATATAAGTGTAGACATTAAAAGTACCAAAAGTAAAAGATGTAAATATCCTCTAAATAATTATAATTAATATAATAGTTTGATGTAAATATGTAATATTTTCATTTTATTTAAATTTAAATTAATGAATATTAAAAAATGGAGTTTACTTTATATTAATCTACTTTAAAATTAACAAAATTTGATAAATATAATTTTGTTTTTTAAATTTGAATTATAAATATTAAAAAATAGAATTCAATTGACATGAATACGCTTTAAAATTAATAAATTTAAGTATATGTTTTTTTAATTTATTTAAATTTAAAATTAATAAGCTTTCTCCATAAATACATATTTTGATAAATATTAAAATTATGATTTTTTTCAAAGTTCTTTAACTAAATTAAATCTTTTTTTTATAATCCAGGATAAGTATAAGATAATATCTGATTAAAGATAACTTTTAACTATTTGACATTGAACGCTCGTACTCCTGATATTCCTGGTGCTCGAGCCTGAGACCTCAAGGAATAACAATAATTCTTTAACCTTAGAAGTCACTAGAGTTCGTGCAACTAAATCTTTTATAAATATTAAATGACTAAAACTATAATTTATATTCTTTTAATTTATTTAAATACCATCTCCACGTTTTAATATAGATTACAAATTCCAAATATTACAAAGATCAAATATTATAGATTACAATTGATAATAAAAATATAGATTACAAATAACAAAATAATTCATTGCAAAGAATTTAAAAATAAGAACAATTAAAATGTTATAAAAATTATGTAACCAACGAACAATTGATAATAAAGACCAAATATTAACAAGAAAAAGTTATACAAACATAAAAAGTTAATGAAAAAAATACGATATTTCAAAATTTCATAATTAACATAAAACTATAATTTATCTCTCTCACTTTTTTTTTAATTTCAACATTATAATAGCATAAGAATAATGTTGTGTGGTTTGCTGGATAATTTCAATAGTTCCACATCATCAATCGTTAGTTTTTAATAGTTTAATGATTAAAAATTGGGAAAACTACTTTAAATACATATGAACTTTGTTTGTTGACTCGTTTATACCATTGAACTTTCAGTTTTATCAATTATAACACGAAACTTTAGTTTTACATTCAATTATACCGCTATGTCGTTAAGTCAGTAACAAGATGATGACATGACTAACATTTGATGTCGTGGTCTATCCCACCAAAACGACGTTGTTTTGACGCAACTGTTCTGATGCCTAAAACGATGTTCTTTTAGATACTGAACTTTAGGGGTTTATCGATTTTGCCAATGAATTTTTAAATATCTTTCATTTTTAGCACTGCACTTTTTAACCGCTACTGGTAGCCGAGCATCACCCTTTATCGATCATATTTCATGACAATATCGATACCAAACGTTCGTATTTCACTCATTTTTATTCTCATACAATTGATTTTCCACGAAACCTACTCAAAAAAATCAACGAAAATTCATTTAAAAGTTTTAAATATTAATACTCCAATGTCTTTCAATGACCGTTTGATGAGGTTAGTTTTTAGATATGTTGTTTATCTTCTCGAAATAATGTTTTTCACCGTTCAGATTTTTGAACAAACACCCAAAATTCCGTAAATCTAAGAAAGTCTCCAAACATCTAAAAATGATAGATTTTTTTTTGTTTAATTTCTTTGATTTTTGAGTGGATTTCATGGAAAACTAATCATATGAGAAGAATGATGAGTGAAATGCGAACATTTTGATACCAATTATGTCGTGAAAGGCGATCATTGACAGGCAGCGTTTGACTACCGGTGGCAGCCAAAAAGTGAGATGTTTAAAAGTTTAATGGCAAATTCGATATATTCCTAAAGTTTAATTTCTAAAACAACATCATTTTAGACACCAAAAGAGTTTCACCAAAACGACGTTATTTTGGTGTGGCATGCCACATCATCAACCTTTAGCCATGTAATCATCTCGTTAGTGACTTACGACGGAGTGGCATAATCGAATGTAAAACTAAAGTTTAGTGCTATTATTGGCAAATTTGAAGGTTCAATGGTATAAACTAGTCAACGAGCATAATTTGGTGGTATCTAAAGTAGTTTCCCCATAAAATTTTTAGGGTAAATTACACAATTAGTATCCCAACTATCACTTTTGTTATATTTTGATCACTCAACTATTTATTGCTTCAAAAACATACCTAATGTTACATTTTTGGTTTTATTTTGGTCACCCACCCACCCACCATTAAAAAAATTAATGATGTATTATCATGAGGTAATGCCACATTATCATTGAATTTTTTTTAAAAAAATCACCTTATCATTTATGTTAATTTTTTTTAACAATAGGTGACCAAAATTATACCTAAACTATTACTTTTTTCCCATTTTGGTACCTAAACTTTCATTTTTTTCAAATCATACCTAACACTTACTTTTTGTTTCGATTAGGTATCTCGCTGTTAAAAACTTAATGGAACTGTTATACATGACACTTTTTTATGGGTAAATTTTTTAATATAATTACTTAACTTTCAAATTACTCCTAATTTAATCACTCTAACTTTCAAATTTAATTTTTTAATTTTAATTATATATTAATAGAATTATAATAAAAAAAATATGTTATCATAAAAATTATTAATAAAATAAATTAGGGTGATTAAAACATGAGCAATTTGAAAGTTGAGTAATTATATTGAAATTTTTTAAATTTTAGTGAGCAAAATAATAGTGAGAATATTTGAGTGATGAATGATCTAATTTACTCATAAAAGTATGTCATATAGAGCAGTTTGTTAAATTTTAACTGTGAGTACTAAAATAAAACCTAAACTAAACGTTACCGGTTAAGATTTCATTTTTAGTTTGAATAACATTTTATATATGTATACACTAAAAGATGCAATTTTAACAGGAAACTTGCCGCCCATGACCAACGTTCCAAAGCTCGAGAAGCTTATTTTGTGGGGAAATAAACTTAGCGGAAACATTCCCAGTTCTATCTCCAATGCTTCCATGCTCAAGCTTCTATCTTTACAAGACAATTTATTCTCTGGCCCAATTCCAAATACGCTTGGCAACTTAAGACACCTTGAACTCTTCCAAGTTGAATACAATCATTTGACCTAGAACCCTTTACTCATGAGTGGTCCTTTCTTTCTTCTTTGTCGAATTGTAGGAATTTGACAAAAATATCGGTTTCGGGAAATCCATTGAATGGCCTACTTCCTACTTATATCGGGAACTTTTCGACATCCCTTCAATACTTTTACGCTTCAGACTGTGAGCTTAAAGGTAATATTCCTATGGAGATAGGTAACTTAAGCAGCTTGTTGCTTTTACAGCTTGGCAACAATCAATTGAGTGGATCTATTCCCACCTCAATAGGACGACTGAGAAATCTCCAAGTTTTGTATCTTTCCTCTAATAAATTAGGAGGTCCTATCTCAGAAAGCATATGTGGTTTGAAGGGATTATACAGTTTGTATTTATCGTTGAACGAGCTGCATGGACCTGTACACACTTGTTTTGGTAATTTGACTTCTTTGGGATATCTTTACTTGGATTCTAACAAGTTGACTTCTCCAATACCTTCAACTTTGTGGAATGTTAAAGATATCTTAGAATTAGATTTATCATCAAATTACCTTAACAATTCCCATGCTATTGATGTTGGAGTTTTGAGGAGTCCATTGAAATTGAATTTATCAAGGAATCTGCTCACTGGTGATATCTCATCTACAATTGGAGATCTTCAAACTTTGGTTTCACTAGACTTGTCTATTAATAAGTTACATGGTCATATCCCTGAATCGTTTGGTGGTTTGATTAGTTTGGGATTCTTGGATTTAAGCAATAACAATCTCTCTGGAACTATTCCCAAGTCTTTGGAAAAACTTTCACATCTAAACTTTTTTAACGTGTCTTTCAATAGACTTGAAGGAGAAATTCCCACCAATGGATGTTTTCCAAACTTTTCTAGCACATCATTCATGAATAATTATGCTTTTTGCGGTTCACCTAGATTGCTAATCCCACCATGCAAGAATAGCATCCACAAAAACTCCAAGATGACGACCGTAGTGCATGCTTTAAAGTATGGCTTACCAACAATTGGTGTTGTCCTAGTACTAATAGTCTTAACTATTATGTATAGAAAACGCCAAAGTAGGAGTACAGCTCTACCAATTAAGGATGATTCATTGTCTTTGAAAACATGGAGAAGAATTTCACAAGCTGAACTTTCACAAGCAACCGATGGATTTGAGGAAAGAAATTTGCTTGGTTCAGGGAGTTTTGGATATGTATATAGAGGAGGCTTTCAGATGGAATGGAAGTAGCAATAAAAGTCTTCAATTTGCAGACAGAAGGAGCATTTAGGAGCTTTGGCATTGAATGCGAAGTTTTGCGTAATATAGTTCATCGGAATCTTGTCAAGGTCATTACTTGTTGCTCTAATGTTGAATTTAAGGCGTTGGTGCTTGATTTCATGTCTAATGGAAGTCTTGAGAATTGGTTACATTCTGAAAACTGTTCTCTTGATATCTTACAAAGGATGAACATAGTGATAGATGTTGCAACAGCTCTAGAACATCTACATACCGGACATCCAACACCTCTAATTCATTGCGACCTAAAACCAAGTAATATTCTTCTTGATGATGACATGGTTGCACATGTGGGAGATTTTGGCATTGCCAAATTGTTGGGAGAAGGTGATGTAACAAAACAAACCATGACTCTTGCAACTATCGGCTATATGGCACCAGGTGAATTTTGAGTTTTAATGATCATTTTCCCTTTTTTATTTCATATTTTTTCATGTGTATCTGTATGTATAATTGGATAAACAAGGCATAAATAACTAATGATCAAAGGATCATGTTTGAAACGCAGAATTCGGATCAACAGGAATTGTTTCTATAAAATGCGACGCCTATAGTTATGGGATTGTCCTAATAGAAACCTTCACAAAGAAAAAGCCAACTGATGAAATTTTCACGGATGAAATGACTATGAGGGATTGGGTGAAAAGATCATTGTCAAAAGAAATTATAGATATCGCAGATGTTGATATGCTAAGAACAGAGGACGGGTACTTTGTTGTTGAAGCAAATTGTATTGCATCTATTATGAAGTTAGCTTTGGTTTGTTCAACCGAGTCACCAGAAGAAAGAAAAGATATGAAGGATGTTGTGGTTGAGCTGAAGAAAATCAAACAAAGGTTTCTAAACAGCCTTGAACATGTTTGATAAAGATGGTAAGTAATGAGTGTGCTTGTTCTATATATATCACACATAGATGGTGAAAATTAATAAACTAATTTATTCTATTTTTCTCACTCAGTTGCTCTCATGTACTAGGCTTTCTTTGGAATTCAAACTTGCATTGCAAAATCAAGATGGGCACAAATCAAACGAGCAGCAGACAATTTCTATCAATTAGAATTGATGTTAGCTTTGGGGCATTCAATAATTTTCTTTGATGGTTTGTATTTGTTTAGTTGCTTGCTTATTTCATCACTCTGTAATTTTGTTTTAACATCTTTCTGAGTATTTTATCGTTGTATGGATTTTTCCTTGCTTTTCTCTTGTTAAATATGATATTTCCTGTCATAAGAAAATTAAAATTTAATTATTTGTGGAAATAGTTGTATCTTTTTTTTCCCTTTGAAAGAAAATTTTGTCAATTGTCAAACACCAGAAGATATGTACAGTCATCATATTCGTATGCGGGACCAAAAAACAAGGTATGGATCTCTGCTAAGTTTGATTCTTAGTTTTATTTGTTCTTAGTAAAATTTCATTTTTCACGGCTCCTATTCATTGTAATTAATATCAAAACCGTTTGTTACATTATAAATTGGGTTCAGAAAACATACATCATAAACATTAGTCATTGTTACCTATATGTTTTCTGTAATTTGCAGGATCACCTTGAAACTAACTTTGAAGCTGTCGACATGGTATGTCATATTGTTCTACATCTTTGTGTGTGTTGGTTTTAAATAAAGCTTGTAAATCTCGAATTTCGATTTTTTTTTCTGACAATTTTATTGTCTCAGATCAACAGTTTGGACATGAATGAGTTACAAAATCTGCAAGAAATGGTTCCATACTTCCAGTAAATGCAGCAAAGGATTACTAAGGATTGTACCAGTGGTGAACCTGCAGTTGTGATTTTCCATTATACATTTGTTTCTGTTTGTTGCCCAAGGTCTGATTGGTAAGGCTTTGGCAGGATGCTGAGGTTGATCAATGGAAGAGAGGCCAACCACCAAATGAGGCAGCAAAGATAGTGCTGAAAACCGAGACAAGGGACATCAGCACCCAAGTTCAACGACCGAGAAATTTATGTAAAATCAGGGAAGACGAGGGTCTCAACTCTCAAGTTTCTGATCCTCCAAAAGCGGAATACATCAATATCGGATCCTGAAGAAGCCTGACAACAGTAAGGTGTAGTGTTGTAGATATGGTGACGACTTCGAGTAAGAAGAGAAACGATCAAAGGAAAGACGAGATATTTCTTCACGAACTTGTACCTGCTTGCAGCAATCTATAGGTGTGTTTTCTTGAATGATATAATGCCAATAAATTTACCATTAAATTAGCATCTAATAATTACTTAAAAAAGCTGGTGACTTTTATTGGAGTGGCGGAACTTGAAGATAAATTTTAGGGCTGGAGGTCAACTTAAAACTTTAAAATATTTAGAGGTTTAAATTAAAATTTTCAAAATTTTAAAGGATTTAATTTACATTTTTCTAAAAAGTTAGAGTTTAACTAAAATTGAATTTAAAACAATTAACAATCACTTTGAATTTAAATTGAAGTGTTATAAAATTAAATTCTAATTAAGTTATATATGACTTCATATCAAATTAAATATTTTAAAAATCATATTTAATTAAATTATATAATAATCATTCATATAATTATCCAAGGTAAGACTTGTGTATAATTCTCATAATGGTTAAGATTTCAGTTTGAGTAATTAATGTTACGTATAATTAATGTTTGTTATACTCATTTGAGATCTAGACTTTGAGTAACTGAGAAATTATACTTTATCACATTAATGTAACGCGAGAAATAACAGGATGACATGGTTAGAACGATAACACCAGACACACAAATAAACAAACATGTTTAAATTAATTATTAACATTTAAAAATTCATAATAATTTAAACACATAAAAGAAACCAGGAGCGTAATATGTACATATATTTCTCTTTATAAGAGTATATTTATAATATCTTAATTCAATATACAAAAATAACACGAATATAAAATAATATTATTAAAAAATCAATCATTTAATGAACGTTCTTATACTTTTGTATATACTGTGTTTGAACCCGAGACTCTAAGAGATAATAACAATCTCTTAATCCTTGAGGTTGCTTAGTTCGTGCAACACGTATACTATCCGTATTATTTCTCAAAACTAAGTGGTCCCAAAGGCAGTAAGTAGCTTGAAATCTCTTCTTAACATGCCTTGCACCAACTCATCTTCGCAGGTGCCAAGTACGAACTACCCAAGTATGTTTTGAGTGAGCCGACAAACTTGATCCGAGATAGTTGAAGCTCGAATGCAAAAGTGTGCAAGGATGAACATAAATCATGTATATTACTCCCTCTTCGTCTTTGAAACCTTTTTTATAAACTCAGGGTCAACTAGGTGACCTTTTAACTCGTGTTTTACTTTTGACGCTGATTAGGTAACTGTTATGTTTCTCTGATGAAATGATAAAATGGAATAAGCATTTGTTTGAATTGACTAAGACAGTTCCATTGAGCTCAATTTACCATTAGTGATAATCCATGGAAACGTACGTGAACATACATTGATGTCTGTAAGCAACTTTTCATTACCACAAAGCTCAGAGAAAGGGAAGAAAAAGGTAAAACTAGCTTGATACCGATGATCAAACCTTTTTGAAGAAAGATAGAATATTTCCTTGCTTAGGATCCTTGGCATTTCCAGCTTTCTTGTTTCCAGCTTTACCTCCTGGATTAGATGGTGCAGTGGTTCCAACTGCAGGGGACTTTTTGGCTGCAGCAGGCCTGCATCAAGGATTCAAACAGTTAGATTGCACCAAGTACCAACAATTAAATATCTAAGAGAACAAGAACAAAGATTGGCCTCAGTGCAGGCAAGTATTCTCATTGACAGCATAGCATGGAAACCTACCAATATGTCAATTTCTAGAACTAACAAAATCAGACATGCAGAACGAGCACCGGAAATAGTTTACGCATTGTAATAACAAGATATACGATTCCTTCGCCCCTTTTCTCTGTTCTCTGCCCTCCTTAGAGTTTGGATACACAATTTTATGCTAAAAGACAATTAGAACAAGCAGAAAAAGGGGGGGATGTAGCATCACCTGCTATTAGTATTTGAGACGGTGTTGGAGTTAGCATTGGTTGTTCCACTTCCAGCTTTCTTCTGCATGTCACTTTCAGCTTTCTTCACTTCTGTCTCCTTGCCTTCCCAAACTACTCAGTAACTAATAACATAACTAAATGGAAAAAGATGATATAAGATATTCATTTAGCAATAATACTGTTCACTCCAATTAAGTGCATTTAAGGGGAACACAGGAGATAAACATGCATTAACACCAGTTTTCATATTTCTCATTGACGGTAAGATGTACAACTGTTCAAGTTTTACAGTGATTAAACTTAAGTCTAGCATATATCCATGAGATTTATTAATTGCATTAGCAAAATTGTAGGCATTGAAGGAACTTCAGAAGCGTATACCTTTGATAAACAAATATAGCAAGATGATATCTACGATAAAATGAATAACAAAAGTCAAGATTACACCCTATTTTTTTCAATATGAAATCCCCATTGACGTAAAAACGAGCGTGTGATAAAATTTCTAAATGGATTCACTAACAGAAAATAATAAAAATGAAAAGCATTCTTCGAGCGAGGCTAGGGATTGTATTTACCTTCTCTTCCACGGTCATCAATACGTGTCTTCAACACTTTCCTCCTTTTAGGCGAATTTGGTGCGTCATCAGTAACTTTATCCTTCTTATTTAGATCAGTTTCAGGAAGCTGGCTGTCAAGCTTAACTGAAGAGGAATTCTTACCATTTGTGCTTTTTCTGACAAATGAAGCTTCTTGTCCCAATGATCTATTGGATTCTCCGTTCCTACTTCTCTCTTCCTTAACCTTTGCTTCATCTTTGTTTGGCTTGTCTACAACCAAAACCGGTTTCTCTGGAGCTGATGTTTTAGAATTTTGTTCTGAATTTAAAAATGATTTCCTTTTAGGGGGATCAGGTGGCGCTAGATTGACAGCGTCTTCATACTCATCTTCATCTGAGAAATCGAAAAATACCCTCCGTTTCCTATTGCCTTCATTGTTAGAAGCTTTCCCAAAATTAACTTCTTGAGCATCAATGTCACTGTTCTCATGCTCTGCTGCTCATTAGCACAAACTTGTGCACCTGCAGTAACAAATAATTTAAAAAGAAATTATATAAATGAGAAAAGAAGTAGCTATGAATATAAAAACCATGTTGTAGAAAAGCAAAATTTTAAATAGCAGAACCACTGAAATAATTCGAGCTCTAGGTTGTTTAATAAAAATTTGCTTTGATTTATAGAATGCACTAGAAAATTCAAATATGAAAGAAACTCTAGTAATAGAATAAACGGAAACAAACCGTTGGACTTTTGGATGGGACCATTGTTATCTGCTGGCACAGTACAGGTCTTTGGTTTAGTAGATGCACGATCCCAGAAATTTGCTAATGAACCTCCATTTCCAGCGGAACCTTTATCATTCTGGCCTTTCCTTTCATTAGAAGGCAAGAAAGTAACTTTTTCTTTATCAGAAGGCTTGGTGGCCACACCATGGACTCCACTGATATTGTCGCTTTTGGTATCTTTAATCACAATGGGAGTCTGCTGAGCAACTTTCGAGCTTGATTGCTGAACCTTATTTTGTTGAGATGGTAAAGCTGCATTGGTATGAGAAGAAGTATTTTTAGACAGTCCTGAGACTCCCACACTATTTGGCTGTGCAGTTGCAACCCTTGCAGTAGTTCCGTCGATGTTGCGCTTGACAAATGAAGTTGAAATCCCACAGAATCTGAAGAAAACATACAAGGAAAAAAGATATACATTACAGATAGAAATTTCTAAATTTTTATCTGATCAAAGAACTGACATGTGAAATCCTGCCAAGACAACGAGCTTACATATCTTGAATTCACACAATCACTCCTGTCACCCTGAACCAAAAGGACATTGCATTTATTTCTTATTACCCTTATATGAACAGCTACTGAAAAAAGAATAACTGGAAAGAAACATGCTAGTAAAATCTCCTTCATTAAATGTATACATAAGTAACTAAAATATCTCAATGGTAAGTACAAGGACGAGCAACAACTAAGAAACATGAAGTAACCGTCAACGCAACATGAAATCTTTTATCTTCCCTAGCTGTAATGATCAGTTATGATCAATTACATAAGTAGGGTACCTATTATCTCTCAAGCAATTATCCACTGTGGTAGGCTGCTTGAAGAGCTCTTCAGCTTGTATAAATTCAGTATTCCAAATTGCAGCTGGGTCCTTTGGGATGCAAGCTTGCACACTATACACATGAACTGTGCAATTGCCGTCATATTCTTGCTTGGCTTCTGCAAGAAATAAAGGAAAAAAGAATTGTCATTAATCACCTTATCTAATTTTAGTGGCCAAACAAGATAAAATTATTATGGAGATCCATCACTTTGCCTATTACTTCCTTATTATACTCATACGTCATTTATTCCAAGAACAGTCATGTAGCTTGTACAAGCACGATGTAAAGCCATAAACACCCTTAACTGCATACATATTAGAATAAGTGGAACAAGATGAAATTGTCATGAAAGTCTAACCTGAAAGTTTAGGCCCTGTCACGAGCTGAATATGATAGTTTGATGGAGAGTTCTTCAACCAGCCAGACAAACTATATACAACTTCTAACCCACTTCCATGCTTCTCAACAAACTCGGCAAGCATCTAAGTATAAGCACGACTAATATTAGTCAGCAAACATAATCATTACAAACTACATTCTTTGTGGGGGGAATTACCTCTTTGCGACATTGGATGAGACCAGAAAGTTACGACTTAACCACTTGTAGGACACCTGAAGGATATTTCATTTTGAGCCATATGAAAAAAAAAGGAAATTATAAACTCCCAGATTATAATGAAATTTCTAGCCTACAAACAAAAGGAAAGTAATTTCACAGACCCCAAATTATAAAATTCCTGTAAGGCAATTTTCTTTTAAGTGTGAAAATCAATAAGACAAGGAGATTCCAGTTGTTGCCTTAATCCTAAATATTAATTTATCAAATTCTTCATTTATCATGTGCAAACAACGAATTATTTCTACCAAAAAATTTAATACCCTACCTTGAAAGATTTATTCTCTTACAATGAAAATACATAAACGAACACTTTAAAGCAGAGCTTAATTCAGTTCATTTCACATTCAAAACTTTTGTTTTGGATAAAATGTATGTAGTAAATCCAAAGAAAATTTCACATTCAAAACTTACCAGCTTCTTTTCAATTCCCAAAATCTAAAATAGAAAACCACACAAAAAAAAACAAGAACGGAAGAGGAACAAATTTCTGCAAGTTCCCTGAGTAATCAAAAGAGCTCCATTTTAATCCAACCCAGATCACTTCATGCAATAAATTAGTAAAAAATAAGAAAAGGAAGAAAGCCCATGAATTTAAGACCATGAGAGGGAAAGAATAAATTACATTAGTAGGAAAATATCAATAAAATCGGCAAAAATCCGAAGAATTAGTGAAAGTGAAGGCAAATTCAAATAAAACCTAATATAAGTGAACTTACTACTTGAAGTTTATCGGAGATGAGAGCTTGGATCTCGTCGAGGATACCTAGGGTTTCGATTTGGGACATTTTTTCGATTCTTATGAAGGTTTGAAGTCAGATTTGGAGATTTTCGGCGCTGATTTTCCCCCATTCCTGTGAGCGTTGGAGAAACTACTCTCGAAATATAGGGATGGGGAGAGAATGGTTTCTCTGTCGGCACGTGATTATTCGGGTTTGCACGTGACTAGTAGCCTGTATAGCCAAATTGTACCATTGGGCTTGAGAATCAAAAGACTTTACAAGGTTTGGGCTTGGAGAGCTTCAGGTGGCAAAATGATTATGGGTTTCACGTTGGGCTATAAATAAATTGAATTGACTTAAAATATTATTAAGTTTAATGTTTATATTTTAGGTTAATCGAGTGTTACTTCAACTCGGAATTATTAAAATATTTTAATTTTTAAATTATAATTAGCCTTATTTTATTGATAACTTGTTTTTCATATATTCATATGCATAAATAAAATAATTAAAAGTAATAATTTTGAGGTTTAAACTTGTATTTTAACAACTAACAAATAATCGATCTAATAGAATAAAATATTATTTTTTTTCAAATAAGATTAAAAAAATATTAGCATTATAAATATAATAAATTGAATTGGAATACTTATTTTTTAATTAATATTCATACTTATTTTTTAACAAATGAGATATCAATGACAATATCATAAAATTAATACTTAAATTATTTATCATGCTATAAAAAACAATCAATTTTGTAGTGAAATTAGTATAATTTATTTTTAAATTATTTAAACAAAACAAATAATTAATAACTATAGATTTTTTTTTTATTTGGAATTATTTGTTTATATAAACCAATACCATTCCACCAGAAAATCAAACAAGCGATACCACTAATATTTTCATTTAGCAGATATATTATATAGGTAGAGATATTTCCATTACATGAACTTATACCACTGGATACGAAGGTATCTTTGCGATACCACATAAACCACCACTTATATTCACACCCCTTTGAATTTTCATAAATCCATTTTCACCCCGAGTTTCCCCCCATGAATTCTTAATCACCCAATACTTTAAACCTTCTTCACTTGTCCCATATCCCACAATGGTGACTCCATGTGTGAGCTCATTCACTCATTGCCGCACTCTCCGGTAAACACTCCGGTACCGGCGTAAAATTGAAAGTCTCGTCCACGGCTATCGAGTGCAGCTGACACAGGTTGATTCGCGACCGCCTTAAGCAACGCTTCCTCATCGTTAGCGGGCACCATCTGATAGCCGTTGATGGTGGCCACTTTGTTTGTGTGTTTCTCGGTGTAGCAAGCATCTTGCTTTGACTCGTATGGATAGCTTTGTTCAGTGGTTATCCCTTGGTTTTTTGTAATGTACTCGAAAGCATCCATCATCCGTCCGCCTTTGCAGCCCCGGTTTACTCCATTTCTGCTGCAATCCAGCAGCTGCTGCTCGGATAAAGAGATCAGTTTATCGGTTTTTATTTTTATTATCCCTTCAAGGGCTGCCACAGCTGAAAACGCCCAACAGCAATCTGCAAATATAAAGATCAAATTGTTAAACCATGGATTATTTACAAAGGTTGGTGGAGAAATTAACACTTACTACATCTGCCTTGATATTTAACAGGAGTGACGGCACCATGGTCCCTCCAATCGAAACTAATCGGAACGTCCGAGAACTTTTCGTACATAAACAATGTTGATTTGGACAGTGTGGAGTAGTCTTGTTCTTGCATCTTATTATATCCGGTTTGAGCCGCAATGAATTCATCTTGTGTCATGTCGGCGAATTCATTGAGGCCTAGCTTAAAACTCCTATTTCCACCATTGTTGAAGCTTTCAATATATTCCAAATTCTCCTTGAATATATCAAGACGCTTTTCCTTCTCTAATTTGCTCTCGTATTTTCGACCGTGATCAACCATCCATTGCTCATGTTTGTCAACAATGGCGGCTTCCTGGATTGTCCGGGACATGACAAGAGATGCCAATGTCCCAAGAATTGAAAGTAAAAAGGCATGGATTAAACTCATTGTTTTGCTGTATATGTGGAATTTTAGGGCGATAGTTGTATAACTTATGAAGAACTTGTGCGTGCTTGTGTGTGTATATATATATAGTTTAAGGTTATCTTTTCCTCTGGGGGTGGGGAATTGGGGGCGCTAATTGCCAACTTGTGAAGAAGTAGCAACCAATGTCTGCGTGTGTATATATAATTTATTGAATTATTCTATCTGGACTCTGTTGCTGCAACGAGGAGAAAATGCTTCCTTGAAAGTGTTTTTAAAGATGAAAGTACGATTTTATGTTAAAAATACGAATAAAAAATTTATGATTAAAAAATTTAAGGATACAAATTAAAACATCAATAAAAAAACTTAAATTATACGAAATATTAAATTTTTAAAGAATACGACCGTACCTTCAATTTATTTATGTTGATAATATGCATGATGCCAACTTGGTGGTAAAAGGTGAAGAAGGAACATAGTGGGTAAGGTATTTGGCGGTGGTGATGGAGTCTTAGTCTGATTCACACATTGATGCCTCATGCACATGCGGGTTATTTTAGCTTAATCAAATCTTAGATTAGAATCTTTCAAATACATTAAGTATTCGATGTAAAAAGATTTAATTACCTTATAATTATACTCGACTCAATGGAATCAATTTCTATAATATAGATAGAAAATGATTAGTTTAATGACATCCACGAGGACCACAACCACAATCCCAATGAAGAAGTATATTAAAACGTAAAACTGTGATTGAATTGTAAGTTTTAGCCGACAAAGAGTTGAGTGGATGCGCGGGGTAAAGATCAAATGTTGTTGTTCCTTAGGGTCTCAAACTCTCAGATTTCTAATACCATTAATATCAAAGGTATTAACATTCAATGTTAAATTGTTAAGAATTATTTTTAAACAAATATTACTTTTTACTTACCCATAATAATAATAATAATATTCTTTTATTAAACCCTAAGTCATTTATTTGTTAGGCCTTCTAAACGTGAGTGTCAACTAAAACACATATGTGCTAAATTCTTGAGAAAAAAGATGATGAATTAAAAATTACTTTTCCAATCGTCCATTGCTTATAACTACAACTTTAGTTTTGTAAGATATTATATTAGAGGTGAAAATAGATTATTAATTATAAATATAAAAAGATATTTAAAATATATAATAATTTAAAATTTAAAAAAAAAACAATTATTCCCGTCTCCTTCGTCCCATTCATGTACGTGATGTTTTAAAATAGGTAATTGTATTGATTTTAAAGTTATTTACACTGCATATGTTGTTACGTGTAGGACTTGGATGCACCATAGTCCATATGATTTCCATGATTTTTGAAGTAAAAGCCAAGCCTTGGAGAATGGAGTGACATGCGCATGGTTGTAGAAGACGTGTGGAAATTCAATTGTTGCTGACAGAATTGTTGTTAGGAGTCGTTCCTAAAACTATCAAAAAATGGTTAGAGTTGTTCTATTCAAATTATTGTCAGCTTATCTTATAATTAATTTAAAATTAAGGAGTTAAATTTATCTCAAACTAAATTCGTAACAGCTAATATATATGAATCATTAATAATATAATTGATATCAAGGATTCATTTATTTTCGATTATATTGTAAACACTCATTTTCGTCCGAATTTGGGTTTTTATTTATTTATTTTTATTATAGTAATATAGTATAATTTTTGAAAATGTTTTTGAAAAATATAATATATAGTTTTCAAAAAAATATTTTTTTGAAATATATATTATATAATTTTTTGAAACGTTTTTGAAAACTTATGTACAATATATAAGTTTTAAAACATTTTGAAAATTATATAGTATATAGTTTTGAAATCATTTTGAAAATATAATATATAGTTTTAAAAAACATTTTTTGAAAATTTATATATAGTTTAAAAAAAACATTTTGGAAAACTTATATAATATTTTAAAATCATTTTTGAAAACTATATGATATTTAGTTTTGAAAACGTTTTTAAATAAAATATATAGTTTAAAAAATATTTTTTTGAAACATATATTATATAATCTATATTATTATTATTTATTTTATTTCATTTCATTTTATTAATCTAATTTAATTTCATTCATTAGTTTTGTCAGGGTCCAAACGGGTCCAAATAACAGTCCAAATAACGGGCCTGAACCAGCCCAGCAGTAAGATACGGTTCAGGGTCTGGGAAACCCTAGTCATACATGTCACAGGCGGCGCAAGTCAGGGGAGCTGTGCAGTCAAGCACGCAACGGTCAGATGTTCCGGCCGAGATTCCCGGGGCTGACCCATCCCGGGATGGCCGGCCAACCACGAACGTTAGACCCGAAAGGTACGGGAACGACCCCGTCATCACCGGAAACAGCCCTGTTGGGGGCTATATAAATACCAACAGAGATATCATCAAGGGGGATACCGAGGTACCACCACACCGACCACCAGAAATGTAACACCCCCAACCCGTATCCGACCCGGATACGAGTCCGAAGTGTCACATTGACTTTTCAAACCTTGACTCTTAAGAAAAATCCCGGGAAATTTAAAACTTTATTTAAAACAAAATACAGACTTTATCAGAGTGCTCGTACTTAATGACTTATTACATGCCAACACTTTATACATAACCAAAAACATACTTTATCAAATATTTCTGATCTGATCTTTTGGTAAGGAAAACTGACCTGTCTTGCTCCGCATCACTCCTTACTCTTCTCGAAACCTACGTGTGAAACAATCACACGCTAAGTCGAAGACTTAGTGAGGCATAACCACTTATAATGCACTTTAAAACCTATATTGATACATGTATGGGTTGTTCTATCATGTTACAGCAAGTTCATGCATTTTTCATATCGTATAAAATCATATCAGATTAATTGCAGTAAATACATGCATACACATAATTCATCATTAACAGTTTATCATATAATCACATACTATTTCAATCAAACACTATACACACATAACATCATATCATTTCTATAGCATTTATCATACCACTAACTTATATTGGTTCATATCTCTGGATTAGCCCATGTACATATGTGAGAACTATCGATATGTGAGTCTATAGAGGTTGTGCACTATGCTGTCACCACAGCTCGTATAAATGCACCGAAGTGCCCCGTAGAATTGCAACCGAAGTGCCCGTAGAATTGCACCGTAGTGCCCGTAGAATGATGTCCATAAGGACCACGTAGAATTCCTTAAGAATCATATACATATACTATGGATCAAGTATGTGTCTTTCAAGACTTCACACAGGTTCCAAAGGATATACATATGTCCTAAAGAACCGAATAAACCCTCGACTCTTGGCATGCCAACTATACCCCTAGCTCTCATGACACATAACATGGGCGTTATCATTTATTTCATTTCAAATATACACATAAACTTGTAATTCACTTTCACATATCACGTATCACATAGCTTCTTTTCATATGATCACATAGTTACGTAGTTCACTTACCCGTAGATCATTTCCATATAATTCACATGTCACATATGTCATGTTTTCATATAATTTCTATCATTTCTCACCCAATCACCTTTATTCATAAACATACTTATCATATCTTGTTCACATAAGATCATATACTTCATATAATATCGAAACACCTAGAACACTTTCACGTAGCTTATAGTCATAAGTTTTGTCTCGTATCATATACTTGTTTTCACATATATATTTCCTATCAATTCTTATACCATCACATAATTCCTTTAACATACATAACATATCATGTAACATTATAATAGAAATACTTATAAGTCATATCACTTAAAGCACATATACTTATAGTCACATTGCTTATATCTTAATCGTATGCCTTCTCTTAAACATATATTCACATGTTCAGGTAATTCACCATTTCATCACATAATTGGGTATTCATATAACTCATTTCATTTCATTTCATATCTATCTATATATATATATATCCTCAAGATTATCCTAATATAAATCATATAGCACTCTTATATTTCGTATTCATCTAGGGCAGACTTATAAACATATCTCACTTCTATTATTTCTATATATAATCTAATCTGTTACTTAATTCAATTTCTTATAGCTCTTATAATCTTCTCATATAACTTCACAAATTTCTATCATTCAACCCATGTGTTATAGTTTTATTTAAACCTATGACTCTTTCCCATCTAGCTTATCTTATACGTTCATCTTATCATTTATGTTCAAATCCCCTAGTTGGTGTACTATTTTCACTTCATCCTATAGATCAATATTATCCAGTTTATTTCACTTATCATGTAAAATATAATTATATTTTACTATGATCACATAGTTTATATCTCATACTTTGCTTTCTCATGTCACCTATATCATGTCATATGGCTCATATCTTTCTCATGCAGTCACATAGTTCAGTTTCACATATGTATATATATATATACCTTATATAGCACATACTTCTCATAACATTACATTCAAAAGCATGTCAACACATATATTCATGCATACATACAATTCATGTCATTCATATACGTATAATCATATATTCATGCATTCTAACATAGGAAATAGACTTGTCGCAAGTCTTGTTTCCATTTAGCACCATCAACTAACTAATATGCACTCACCTGGCCTCACTAGCCAATTCCAATCTCTTATCTTTCCCTTGATCGATCTTACTTGCCAAACGTTCCGGAATTTCTTTATGCGTAGAATCTACATAAATGTACATTTCGTGACAATCATTAGATACCTACACCTTTAATTGGATACTAGCAACTTAAACGAACTTATTAAACCCATATTCCCAATTTTCCTTTAGGGGGAATCGGTTCCCCCCTATGGGGTATCGGTTCCCCCATGACATACTGGAAATTCTTGTTCGTTTGAAGGGGTATCGGTTCCCCTTGAATGGGTACCGATTCCCCTTGCCCAGAAATCATATTTTGAGCTCGAAAATCCTTCATTTTCAGCTCAACACATCATACTTCATTCCCTTTAATATTCCTAACTTTCATACACATACTTAAACTCATTTCTACTCCATAATCCCTTCTTTAAACTCAAAATTCTATCTTCCATATAAGATTCAAAAATCATACCAAATTTCCAATGTGTTCTAATTCCAATTCTAACACTTCCTACCTCTTAATTTAATCCTTGACAAGTCAAATTCAACTTCACAATCTATTAACTCCTTCCATATCAAAAATTCACTTAAAAACTCATTTTTCTTAATTTCTCATAACTTGTTAATCTTTGAGGTTTAAGCCCCCTAAAGCTTTCCTTAATCTTTCTTAATATCCCAAGAATCAAAACAAGCTTTAAAACGAAAGAATTAACCAACTAAAGACTCACTTACCTTATACCAAGCTTCACGGTGGAGAGGAGGAAGAAGAAGACTGAAGAATGCTCTGGACTCTTCTTCATACGTGCTTATTACCCTTAAAAAATTATAAAAATCTTTCTGGTCAAATGACCATAATACCCTTAATTTCCTTTAATAATTACCAAATAACCTTCAATATATATTCAAATAATCATTGAATTCTTTCATTCTTCTACTTTAGTCACCAAATTCTGAAACTTTACAATTTGGTCACTAACCCGGTATTGCGGATGTTACAAGAAACGAGAACGACTGGCCAGCAGTAAACCACAACAGACCATCCTCGATAGTAAACCGAAACGAACAACAACACAGAAATAACCACAGTACCAAACCAAGAGCACGGAACCCATCACAAAAACCAGAACCAAAAAACCACCAAACACAGATAAACGGCACCACAAAAACAGTAGCCAACAACACAAAAAAGAACATCATCGAACACATACACCAAAGGTCGAAGCCCCACAGCAAATATCAAGCAAATTAAGTGAAAACAACCCCGAAGAAGTCCTCGGAGAAGGAGTCGTTGGAGAGCCACGTCGGAAAAGGTGAGAAAACCGAAAGGTTTTCTTTAGATCTACGTCGGTGGGGATTTTTTTATTGGTGATTAGGCTTCAGATTTGGGTTGAGAGCGTTGAGAGGGAGCTTTGGGGGGTTTTCAGTATTTTCGACCACCGCCGGCGGTGGCGTCTTACGGCGGCCGGAAATCACCAAGGGAGAGGAGTCGAGAGCCTTCTCTCGTTTGAGAGATAAAACTTCTGAGAAAATGTTGAAAATGGAGTGGAAAGGGGCTTGGTTGGGCATTTATATACGAGGGACCATTTTGCAAATAGAAGATTTTTAAATCCTCTCTGTCGTCCCTCGTACTTTGATTCGCTTTGCAATTCGGTCACCAGTTGTAATTTGGCCACTGGATTTTCAATTGATTCAAATCGGTCCCCCATTTATATTTCACATTTTTGCAATCTGACCCCAAAGTCTTATTTTATTTATTATTAGCATGTTTTAATTAGTACTAACATTTTTTTATTTTTACTTCATATCGTTTTTATTTTATTACTTTTGAAATAGTTTTTTATTCATTTATTTATTTTATATTTTGTTGATTTCTTTTCTTTTCATTTTTTCTTTTATTTCTTTGATTTACTTTGATTTACTTTCTTAATCTTTATTTCTTTTTGCCCTTTTATTCATTTTTATGTTTTATTACTATTATATATATATATTATGTTTTTGCCTTTTTATATTCATTTTTTTATTTTTCTATCTAATGTTATTTCTTTTTCAGTAATAATCTCAGTCAATCAAAGGTAAATTGTTTGAATTGAATGTTTTAAATTTCGATTTAAATTTTCAATTTTCGCATTCAAAGACAACCGAAAAATTAATTGGTACCGAAAGGGCGGATCAAGGGTGCTAATCCTTCATTGACCGTAACCGACTCCCGAGCCCGACACGTTTCTGGTAAAACGCATATCATGTAAGATGGTGTCCGACCCACCTAAATTTGTTTTAAAGTGGTCGGTGGCGACTCCAATTCATTTAATCCAAGTCGAAGCCCAATTCCGGGCACACCCGAAAGACGGTTCCGACATATATTTGTAAATTTTTAAGTTATGATTTATTGTTGTAGGTGTATAATTATGTATATGTATGTGGTATGAATATGTGTGAAAATAATTAGATTAAATAAGTGCTTAAGATTTTGATGGTTTTCAATCTAGTCCATGTTTGAATGTTTGACTTAATCGTATGTTAAATTTGATTTCGAAAATAAAATTAAGATTAAAATGTAAAATCCATAAACGAATTGCATGAATTATATTGGTGGAATGTTTGTCATCAAAGTTGTGCTTCGATCATTCGATGTGATATTTCCGGTTCGGTTTACGATTGAGCCGAGTAGGGATTGATACGTACAGGAGTATGCTTGCAAAACAACAATTGTAATGGATGATAATATATACTTTGGGATTCACAAACACAGATAAAAATTAACTAGTAGCCGTAAAATCCAACAATGTTGATTGTCTGTCAAATTATGTTTTCAAAAAAGGTCAGGCATCATTGTGTATCCCCCCCATTATCAGTCCTGCTTAGTTCTAGCAACATCCAGGAGAAACTGATTCAAACGCTGGCCGAATGTCTTTGTCGAAAATGATTCACTGACATGCTGTCTAGCCTGTTCCCCCATTCGCCTTGCCATCTCAGGGTCTTGAATGAGTTTAGCCATGGCCAAAGCAAAGTCCTTTGGACTTGGATCACAAAGAAACCCTGTTTCCCCGTCCTTTATCGTTTCCACTGGACCCCCGCTGTTGCAAGCTATAACTGATTTTTTCGCTGCCATTGCCTCTAATGGAACAATGCCGAAATGTTCATCCTACATTGGGTTGGAAAAAATATTTGCATGTTAAAACCTAGTTTTCTTGCATCAATCTTGTAAATTGTTTTAAATTAATGGATGCCAACATACTGTTGGAGTGTAAAGGACACAAAGGCACTGAGAGAGCAGCGAATTCCTTTCTGCGGTTGAACAAGATGTAACGAAATTAACCCGATCAGAAACTCCTTTACTCTCCGCTAAGTTTTTCAGTTCCTCAAAGTATTCTACGTTTTCCCTTAGGCGTCTATCGTATCCACCTGAAATTTGAAGGAATAAAGAGAAGAAACGCATGAGTCATTTTCTGTAGAAAGCAATACATGAAGAACAAAGAGAAAGAATAAACCATTTCATAATCCATATTAGCAACATTGTTCCTTTCGCATAATGCGGCATACACGAGTGACTGTTTTATGAATGGCTCTCACATTAACCCCACTTTTTAACCAGTTTATTCTGACATTGCACTTATAAATCATGAATCCTAGTCGAAGGGCGCAATGTAGGCTATCATAAAACATCAAGGGCGCAACCGCGGGCATTGCAAACTTCATCAAAAATATTGCACTTATAAATCACGAATCCTAGTCGAAGTACTCCCCAATTCACCATAGAAAATAATATGATGATTAAATTCCATCCACCTAGAAAATCCATCAGCCAGCACAAAATAGTAATACTCATGTTAAAATGGGAAGGAAACTTGCCGGCAATCGTTAAGTCGGCATAAGCCAACTTAGAAGTTTGATTAACATGTCCTTCAAGGGTGTGGAGCGCAGCAAAAGCAGAAACTGCTAACTCTATGTTCTTTTTCCTTTCGAAACGATTGATGGAGAGAAAATTCAACCTGGCCAAAGGAACAAAAAGTACAGTTCAGAGAGCACTTATGGTGGGAAGTTTTATAGGAATGAATAAATGTTAGATGAAAGTTTAAACAAGTGCCGAGAAGAAGAAAAAAAGTGATGAAGGGATGTACGAGCATGTTGGTTACTTATAAGAATGGGGCTCATCAAACTGGTCCACATTAACTGCAGGGTGAAGAACAGCTGGTCTAATTCCTTGTGCGTGAAGACGCTTAAATGTTTTTGAAAAGGTAGATGCAGTAAATCTGCTATTAACGAGTATCATATCCGCCATTCCTGAATTCCAATTTCCAAAACATAGCAGAAAACCAGATGATGATGATGAACATAATTATTCCATATTCCATAATGCATAAAAAGAAAGAGACTGGATGCAGAGCTTACCTGTTGTCAGTTCTTCTAAAAAATCAATAGGTTTCCGGTATATCTTCCTCAGGAAAGTTGTATGTTCAGCCAGTAACAAATCTGGAAAATGACAATAAAATACAACCTGGAAAATAAATAAATAAATAAAAAGGACCACTGTGAAAAAGCCATCGCAACAGATATCATCAATAAGAAATGAAAACAATTGATTTAATATACCTTGGCTGACCGCTTAAGTTTCAACAATGGGACAACAATAGAGACCTGATCTGCTAGTATAACATCAAATGATGGCCACATGAACAGCACACAAAGTGAAACAAAGATGCATCGAAGATATGCACAAACAGCATGAAGACGATAGAAAAAATGTCGTGGCAGGAAGTCGCCATATACAGTAACTGGAAAGATACCTGGATTTCATAAAAGGGTGTTGTTCAATTTCAGTTGGAGCAGTGAATAACGATGAACAAAAGGTAGAATTAAATTTTCAGGCATTCTTCCACTTAGCTATATAGCATTATATGCAGATTAACATGAAACAAAACCAAGTCGAATTCTATGTTCCTGCTCAGCTATAATTGATAAGTATACTCACTGATATTAGTTTTAATAAGCTATATGCACTACGTTTTCTGAATCAACATAAAAATGTATATTATGATTTGGAAAAAAAAAGGCCCTCTTTCCAATCTGTTTTCTCCCAACTTCACAAACAAGTGGCTAAAATCATAGAAAGAACAAATGGGAAAAGAAATTTACCAGCACGGGTTTCCTCAAAGCATCGATTTTTGTCATGGTGAGCTGTGAAAATATGAACATTGTGCCCATGGGATGATAATTCAACAGCCGCATCAACAATCAATCTTTCAGCTCCACCTTTTAAATCCGAACAGATGAGTAATAGCATAAATGTTTATCAATTTTTTACTTGGAAAGATATTTAATTTGTTGCGAAACTCATAATCCCAATAATCCAAAAATCAAGAATAAGCCTTCTCCACTCAAAAATCAAAACTTTGAAACTTATTCATCCACCAAATTTCAACCCCACCCCCAAAATTTTTCCATAAATTTTTCTCAGCAAACAAACAGATGGAAGTAACAGCATTACCTCAAAGTTTCCTTTTTTCATAAACAAGAACAACACTAATGAACGAAGTACAACAAAGAATTGAAAATTAAATGATTACCTATGCCAAGATCTGGGTGTATGATGGCTATGTTCAACTTGGAATTGGAGCTTTGATTTCTCTCCATATTTTTTATTCTCTTTTTTCGCCTTCCTCTTCCTTCAATTACCGAAACAGGAATGCAGAACAAAAAAAAGATACCAATAGAAAATTAAGGAAAAATATGGAAAAGGGCAGAATTAGGAAGTAATGGTGTCGATACTCGATAGAGACTATAATAGGGAGGAAGTCAACTATAAATATGCTTTAATTAAACTATTGGGAAAACTACCAAAATGATCACTTACCTTTTTTTTCGTATACTTTTACTCACCGAATTCAAAAAATGTTATTTTTGATCACTTACATCATGTTTTGATAAGTTTTGTCACTAAAACATTGAGTGTCATTAAATTGATGATACGGCACATCAATAAAAGGGTTAAATTTTTATTTTAACCTCTAAACTTTAAATAAAATACTAATATAGTCCTTTATGTAAACCCAAAATAGTTTTAAGGACAAATTATCAAATTACTCTTTTTTAGGGTAAAGTATAGTAATGGTCACTGAATTTTTCTAAAGTTTTCATTTAGATCTCCCAACTTTTAAAACTTGCAATACAACCCTCCAACATTTATTTCGTTTGCAATATGGTCCCCGACGTTACACTATCATTAGTACGTTTGTAATATGGTCACTGAACTTTTCAGGTGCTTGCATTTAAGTCCCCCATCTTTTAAAACTTGCAACACAGTCCACAATTTCATTCTAAACCCCAAATTCCTTTTTGATCTTGAATTTCCTTTAGAAAAGTTCTTTCATCAAAGGAGATGTATCTATTTAAGGTGCATTTACTTATTTTATCGTGTTTGTTTATATAAAATACTGCTAGTTTACAAGTCAATTAAAAAATGCTTAAAATATATAAATGACCTTTAATTACATGATATTATTTTATAAAGTCTCTCCAACTATTAAAAGTTATAAAATGGCGTCTTAAGAGTTTTGTTTTATCAAGTCTCCGACTATTAAAAGTTACATAATGATCACATTATTATTAGTATGTTCAAACTTGTCTCTTTATATTAAAAAAATAATGGTCGTTTGAACCAGACACTAACCCGTTGAATGAAATATGATGAAATATGTTCAACATCCGTACAATTTTCAAGTTAAAAAATTGTTTATACAAAAAAACGAAGCTCCTTTATTTTTGAAAGAAAAAAATATACAAATAAATTTACAAACTTAACTAAAATATTTCAATATTTATATGCCCACTTAAGTAATCATTTATCGTACTCAAATGATTCATTGAGACTCTTCCATTAATGTTGATATCCTATCGCGAATAAAGAAACTTGTAACATGCACACAAAAGCAATCTGAACGTTTAACTTATAAAATTCAATAGTATACATTTATTCTATACTATTTTATAAGGTTCACATACATAAACGTGCAAGTCAAATATGAACATGTACGCATTAAGTATAAAGATTTATAATCCTTAATTAATTATTAGGGATTATCATACTTACACAAGTACAAAGAGTAGCATATTTCAAATCAAATAGGTACATACTAAAGTTTTATAATCCTTAATTAATTATGAACATGTACGCATTAAGTATAAAGATCTATAATCCATAATTAATTATTAGGGATTATCATAATGAAATTGTTATTTTATTCATTAACTTATTGACTTTATTTGGAAGGAATTTCGTGGTTTTTTATTTAGTATCTGAATTTTTAAAGTTTATTCTCTCTTTTATTTCTCTTATAATAAGTTTTGTAGGCTATCTTTAAGCTTTGATTTTATAAGACTATGATATAGCAATATTTAAGATAAAATTTTCATATTTATTTTCTAAAGAAAATTCGAGATCGAAAAGGAATTTGGGGTTTAGAATGAAATTGATGATTGTGTTGTAATTTTTAAAAGTTAAGGGACCTAAATGAAAGTGTCTGAAAATTTCAGTGACCATATTGCAAACGTACTAACGGCAGTTAGGGTTGTTCATTCGGTTAATTCGGTGGCCGAACCGACCGAACTACCATTAACCAAACTTTTTTTTTCTTTAACCGTTAACCGAACCGAACTTTTTTTCGAAAATATTAACCGAACCGACCAAACTACCATTAACCGAATTAACCAAACTTTTTTTTTTCTTTAACCGAACCGAACTTTTTTTTGAAAATATTAACCGAAATTTTTTAAAATTTTCTAATTTATATAAAAATTAAATATTTTATAATTCAAAAAAAACAATTTATAATTAATTTAAATAATATATAACTATAAAATAAAAATTTATATAAATTTTTTAATTAATTAATATTGATTTAGTTTTAAAAGTTATTGGATCTTAAATTATTAATTGGGTTTTAAATGTTTTGGGTTGAGCCCATATGTTATATATAATATATTTAATATTTTTTAATTCATAAAAACAATTTACAATTAATTTAAATAATATATAATTATAAAATAAAAATTTTATATAATTTTTTTAATTAATTAATATTGATTTAGGTGTAAAAGTTATTGAATCTTAAATTATTAATTGAGTTTTAAATGGTTTGGGCTGAGCCCATATGTTATATATAATATATTTAAAATTTTATTTCGGTTAATTAACCAATTTCGAACCGAATTAACCGTTAACTGAATATCCAAAAAAACCTTAACTATTCCCTTACCGAACTAATTCGGTGGCCGACCGAATTAACCGAATTAGTTTGATTCGGTCAGTTAATTCGGTTAAAACCGAATTTTGAACACCCCTAATGGAAGTTTAACGTCGGGGACCATATTGCAAACGGAATAAATATTGGAGGACTGTATTGCAAGTTTTAAAAGTTGAGGGACCTAAATGAAAGCTTTAGAAAAGTTCAGTGACCATTACTATACTTTACCCTTTTTTAATATATTTCTCTTCTCCGCGCCATTTGATGGATTTTCTGTATGCACAATCATATTTGGCGGTCGGTTACCGTTCAACATTTAAGGTGTTTGAATGAAAACTTCGGTGAAAAGGACATAAATTCACCTCGATAATCTGTTGTGAACTTTATTTGCATAAAGTGAATCTGAATATCCCATGCTGAAATGCTGATGTTTTAAGTTTCTGCCATTAATGATTTGGTATAAAGGCATCAACACTCTTTAATTCCCCATTGTACTCTGAAACTCAATCAGCTTTGCCCTTTCATTGCTTCCTTGTATGCCTTCAACCTTCTGCAAACATAGCTAGTAAGTTCAATTTTAATGGTGCTTTGATTTTTACCATCTATTTTTCTTCATTAGATTAACATGACTTGCTTGTTTCTATCTATATTTCCTTGTTGTCTCTGTCGTTGCTGCCTCTGCATCTGCTTCTTCCAATTTTTAATTTTTCAGTGAGGTAAAATCTTTGAACTTAGTTCTGGGTCTTTTTCTTTCACTATTAAAAATTCGGGCTTGTGTTCTTCATTGCCTTTGGTACATCTTTCGGATTCTTCACTGTCAGTGAATTCAAATGGCCTCTCATCTTTGAGAAAGAACAAATCAATGCCAAACTGACCAATTTCTTGCTTTTGAGTTTTTAGTGTGGAAAACAAAAACTTATTCAAAAATAAAAACAAAACTGATTAAATACTATATTGTTTAGGTTTAGTGAGGAAAAATATATAAAACTTAAACAAAAAGGATCATTCTTGTAGTTTACCAAAATTAATTACACTTTTACTCATCAAAAATAAAGAGGTATATATTTTATTTAAGTCATTTATTTTATCAATTTATTAAATATTAATGATTTATATTATCAATTATTATATATTGAGCATCGAATCGTTAACTCCTTAGCTTAATTATGCTGCGTGTTAATTAAAAGTGGTTAGTTTTTTGTTTGACCTTTAAACTTTAATTGACATATCATTTTGACATCTAAACTTTACATAAAATATCCATTTAAACCTTAAATTCGACCAAAGTTTTACGTCGTCGATTGTCACCCACTATTGACATCACTGACCACCGTCAGTCGACATCTACCATCATCTTTGTCGATTTTTGAACCCTAAAATTTATAATTAATTCTTCCTAAACCTCTAGAACGCAAATCTTGTATCTGTTTCAGCGAGAAATACATCAGACTCAACAAATCTAACCTTGAACCTTCGTTTTCCTTTAAAATTAAACTATAACAATATTTTTTTTATATAAATATCCCTTTAAAAGTAAAGACATCAAACAACTAAATCTATATCATTAATCTTATTCATAAAAAATTGTTTCGAATATTATTATCCTATAATATTTTAATATTTATAAAGGGATCCATTCCATTTTAGATGTTGGGTGCTCTATCATCCGGGTAGTTCTGCAGTACAACCTAATAATTTGAGGCTAAAATACGATGAAAATAAACGATTAAAAAAGTTATAAAAGATTATAACATTTTAGGTTTGACGCAACATTAAATGTTACCTTCTTCGTAACATTTTCGGTTGAACCTAAAATGTTATATTCTTTATAAAATTTTAGGTTTGACTTCTTCATAACATTTTAGGTTGTGACCGAAATATTATACCATGAAGGAATGGAATCTAAGAGACAATGATTAGGGCAAAAGAAAATGGTAATTGACCTTCAATTATTGAAGCTAAAACTTATTTGAAAAGGAAAAGGAAAAGGAGAATGGGGAGTGTCCAAAATGGCAGAGTCATTCACACCATTTATAGCGACTAGTCGTATTGTGAAACATTGGCTCAATCGTTGTCAATATCCTCTTTAAACTAATTCTTAAAGATTTAACACACCAAAACCTGACCATATTCTCATCCAACTTTTCCCAACCACACCTCCGCCTCTGCTCAAAATTACCATTCACCATCCCAATTGTGCCATTGCTCAAAATATGGTCATATACAAACTAATTTTGTTAATGGAAACTGTTCCATCCTAATCCGTACTTATTTTAATCCTTTTGCTTAAATTGAGCCGCAACAAATATATTTATAACCGATAATTTATATCACGTCACCAATCTATAATCGACTCAGTATGAAGAAATTATAATTGTCCGGAGTGTATGGATTTTGTCATTATTATTATTATTAATATAAGGTGATTACGAGGTAGTATTTGTTCATTTTTTTTATATCTTCGCTGAATCGTCCAATAATTTTTACGGCATGTAGGTAAGGTAAAAAATGGAACGCAATACATGTCTCCACTTATTCATGTAAAATTAGACATAAGCACAAACAATTCACAACAGTCCTTCATGTTTCTTTATTTATAGTAATAACTCAAATTATTTGGTGTGTTGTAATTAATTTAAGGATAAATTACACAAGTGATCCCCCTGACTATTGAGTACTGCTTTGTTGAGTCTCTCGAGCATTAAAAGTTACAAAATTGTAACTCGACTATTCATATGTTCTAAATTCATCATTTTTCATTAAAAAATGGCGGTCGCCCGAGTTAGACGTTAACACGCTAACTAAGATATATAGTGGTTTGTGATTTTGGAATCATATTTTATCATATCCAGTAGCAAGTTAACGTCTAGGTCATATCGTCGTCAAATTTTTAACGAAAAATGACGAGTTTGAAACATATGAATAGTCGATTGACTATTTTATAACTTTTCATATTCAGATGACTCAACAAAACAACTACTTGCAACTAGAGGACAGTTTGATAACTTTTTATAGTGAGGAATTCAAAATAACAATATCCTATAGTCGACTATAATCATTTTTACCTTACCCTTAATGTAAAAATATATCGGTATATAGCTTCTTGATCCGATTCTCGGTCTAATAATCTATTTTTATTGCGATGTTGGTAAAATTTGCATGCAGTAATTTAGTAGAACTCATGTGAAGAGGATTGTTTTTTGGTTGATAATAGAAAGGCGTAGGTTCCATAGCCTCTGAAATTTACAGCTTCTACCCTATGCTGTCTTCTTCCACAGCATGGACTCTGACAAATGCAGAATCCCATGGAATTCATGAGCAATTTCGCAGAATCGTTCTTTTTCCAAAATCAAAGCTTTCTTCAACAAGTAAATTTAATATGGACCTAACCCCTAACTAATCATCTAATCTCGTAGCCTCATTAATCTGTCAGTCATTTTGATCTTGAAGAAATATAACATTGCAATCCACTTCTTCCTTCTGTTTTATCTTTAAGAAATGGACAAAGATGTTTTATCAGTTATCCCCAAGTCTTTCCACTTTTCTTATTTTGGTTACCCAAGAAAATATTTTATCATTTTGCCCCTTGAAAATAATAATAATAATAATAATAAGTTACCATCGTTAGTCGACTATTATCTTCTAATCATCCAAACATCTTCTAAAGGTTGTCAGATAATTCAAACATCTTTCGATTTACAATGTAATTATCTAAAAGAAAATGAGCTTAATCCATTTCCCCATTAGTCAGTTTCCAGTCAAAGTGTGTGTCTCTGATAATCCCGAGACAATGATTACGTTTGGTTTTGTTTACTTATGCAATGCTCGGAGACTGCAAACGCCGAGCGTATAAACATGGGGATCGAAAATGACAGATGAAAGCACAGTAACCGAAGCCCAACATCCAAAATCATTAATTTCATTTCTTTTTCATTTGATTGTTCGAGTATAATTTGAATTTATGACTTTTAAAAATATAATAATAATAATAATGACATTAATTATATTAAAATATAATTAAAATATGGATGTCCCTTATTCCATATGTAATGGGGTAAGGGGAGGTAAGATAGTAGGCTGCTCCCAACACTAGATTGAGAGCAGCTTCCGTAGGAGACCTCTAAATTAAAATATAATTAACATTTATTTAAATCAAGGATAACGTACATTATGGTTAAAAATCCAGATGTCAAATTAAATCAAAATTTCTTTCAATTATCAAAATGATAATAAAATATAACTACATAATCTGAAATATCATTCTAAACTCTAATATAAGAAGTTCAAAACTTTTAAAATTATATTTATCTATACTACAAATTTTTAAAATTATACAATTTTTTATCACATTTTTTTTAAATAATTCCAACTTTCGTTTTTTTCACATAAAAAGTACATGTTACTTTATATTATTATATCAGAATAGTCTTTTTAGATACTAAATTTTCAAAACTTTTATTGAACTTCGGATTTTGTTACAGAATGAGCACAATACCACTAATTGTCATTAAATAGGTGAAGTGTCATTCTAATTTAATGAGTAATATCTCATTTGCCCCTTCAATTATAATTAAAATTTTATTTTATTGTTAATTTTAATTAAAATAATTTTAATAGGTTCATTAAATTGAAAAAAACAGATGTAAATAAAAAAAAATATTTTTTTATTTCCATATTAAAGATATTGAGTTTGTATCATATAAATTATTTGATATGTTATTAAAAATTAAAGATTATTTTGATTATCTATTTAAGTTACGATGTTTTTGATGAATTAAAAAAATTTAAATTATTTTTTTATTTTAAAAAATAAATTATCATCATATTTTTAAAAAAAATCCAAATTTTATATTTTTTAGAATTATTACTTAAAATATTAAATATATAGATAGATAGATAGATAGATATCAAAATGAATTTTTATAATTGAGGGGTCAAATAATTTTTTTATTAATTTAATAAGCTACATCACATCTTAACAATATTTAATGTTCGATATCCATTTGTAACAAAATCTAAAGTTTAATGTCTATTTTGTGACTTTTAAAAATTCAATGATAAATAAAACTATTTTAACAAAATTTAATGATCTTTATGATTTTTATACTATTATAGACTCATATATATATATATATATATATATAGAGAGAGAGAGAGAGAGAGAGAAGTATCTGAAAAAAAATCCCTTCCGGTGGCTTAGTTCATATCCAATTCTACTTCAACAGCATCCATTGGTTTTGGACAGGACACTTGAAACACTTTACACCCTCGAATAATGTAATCTTGTCCCCTAAATATTACAACATTTGCACGTGTTTGTGAATATGTAAATATCTATGAACCCAAACCAAAACCCTATAATTCGTTCATCCATTTCACCACAAACACACAAATAATTTTCAATATAATTCTCATTCAGTATATCGTTTTTCACTGTAGTTTTTGAAGAAAGGTTTGTAGTTTGTTTTAGCAGAAACACTCAATCATATTTCAATTCTAAGATTCTTCTATCAATCACGTATGTCTTATAGTTCAAGTAAAAAATTACTCTTATCAAGTCGAGTAGGTTGTAAACAAAATGGACCGAAAGTAACAGGTGAGAGTAATCCTCTTTTCCAAATATTTTAAAATTTTAAATATTTTAATTATTTTTTTTCTATTTTTGTTCATTAAAATATTATAAATTTATCCCTTTACATAAAATTTTGCTCTATGGCTGATTGTAAAAACGAAATATCGGTTAAACTGGAACTGTGGAACATCTCGATGGTGTTTCAATGGTAAGATTGATGCAACCCTAAAAAACCTTTCCCTTTCCTTGTTTCTGATCTAACCCTAAACCCCGTATTGTTTTGTCCACTTCCACAAGGCCCCATCGCCATTTCTCTTTCATGAGAGTGAGTGACTGAAAATATTAATGAGCGAGTGAGAGAGTACACTCTTTTGTTTTTCGGTGTTGGCAGCCACGCACTACAAATCCCACGTTTCCTTCTGTCTGCTTTCACCTTCTTTACAGTGATTGTTTCTTGATTTCTCTTTTTATTTTATCTCATTTTCGACTTTCGTTCTTCATTATTGTTGTGCTTTGCTGTTTGTCATAAATACGTTCTTCGGGTATTTCTTTCTGGTGTTGTTCTCTTCGTTTGGTATCAGAGAAAAGAAAAAAGAAACTCAAAGATGTCAAGCTCCAACCCTATTTCTGCACCAGAACAACTCTGTTACATCCCTTGCAACCTTTGCAACATGATTCTCGCGGTATTTTAATTTTGATCCCTATCCTTTTTTTTGTTTATAATAAAGGTCTTAACTTCTAGATTTTATGATTTTCTTTGGGGTTTTTTAGTTAGTCTAGGGTGTTCTGGGTAATGAAGTCAGGTCACTATCCTAAGGCTTCTTTTCTAATTTGTTTGCAGAAAAGTCATAAATTCTCTTGATTTTCCTTCTTTTGCAGATCTTACCCTTTGAGAGAAGTTATTAAATATGGATCCTAAATTTATAGCTAAAAAAGCATGCGAATATATATTTTATATAATGGACGAAGATGACACATCTTGCATATTTTGCGCTGATTACCTCAAACTTTTCCTCATTAAGATACTGCAGGTACCTGCCTAGAGTTCTTCTGCAAAACCTTCAAAAACCTTTTTTTTTTTTGGACCGGTCATGGAAAACGAAAGGGAATATCTCCGTTGTCTTCCTCAAAAACTCCATTCTCATGAACTTAAAAAGTGTTGACTGCCCTAAAAAACGAAAATAAAAACAAAGCCATAGATTTTGCTACTCCTTTTGCCTTGAAAGTTCAGTTTGTCAGTATAATATTTCATCTCTTTTGTTTCCTTTGAAAGATCATAAAAGTAAAACTTTGTATAACCCATTGTTCTTCGGAAACCCAGATTTGTTTTTTGGAGAGAAACCCTAAAATTTACCAAGCAAATTATGTTTTTTTTAAAGGGAAAAAAAGAAAAGCTGAAATTTAGACATGATTTTTGCAGGTGAATGTTCCATGCAGCAGCTTGTTTGAAACCGTGACAGTTCGATGCGGGCAGTGCACCAATCTGTATTCGATAAACATGGCAACTTCTTTTCAATCCAGAGCTGGAAAAGATATTCAGGTTTTCCAAACTTCTTTGTTGGAGATCTTGTTAGGCTTTCTGGGTTTTTTTGTCTCTTTCTAAGGAAAAATCCTGTAAATTTTCACAGGGATTGAAATCTAGGGTTTTTAAGCCTCATTTGATTTTGAAAGCATCTCCCCCCAATCATCGGAACTGCTCTAATTAGTTGCAAATAAAACCTAATTCTTGAAAGCTTTGTTAAGAGCCGGCATATGGGTCGGTTATTTAGGGCAAATAGACATTTTTAGGGACTCTTTTTCACTCTTAATCTCCATTGAGCCGCCATTTGTAAAGATTTGACTTTGATTTTGACTGACACGAGTTTTAGGGTTTGTAGGCTTTTAGTCACTACGCTGATCTTTTCCATTCTCTCTTAAATCTTGTCCTTCGACTGTACCAAATTTCAAAGATTCAGTTTTTAATTATCACCAAGAAACATTCTTCTCCCTTTTATTTATTTTTTTAAGTTTTCTATGGAAAACCCTTTTTTTATCATTGATTTAGTCCCTTTAATTTTGTTTTTTCCTTTGTTTTCCCCATCTTACTCAGTGTTCAGAGCAATTATTATTTTTTGGATAAGTAAGTTATATTCCATCCAAAGAAAATAAAGTAAAGTTGCTACAAGAGAACAATCTCAATTTATATCAGTCCCCAGTTTATGTACATGTCTCTATTACCATCATCTATAATGTGTAAATTAAGGCTATACAATTTAATTTTCACTGCTTCCTTAATTCTTTTTACAATATCCTCACTTGATCGAGAAAGGCCTCTGAATAACCTGAAATTGCGTTCTTCCCACACGTGATACAAAAAACCAGTCCAAGCCAACTTTAAAATTCTTGTTCGAAGCGATTTACCCTTCAGACTCACAACCAACCAATTAAGACGTTGGTCCCAACTGTCAGCAATGCTATGAATCCCACATAGCCCCAGGACAGCATTCCAAACATTCCTAGCATATGAGCAATATGCAAATAAATGGTTGCGTGATTCCATACTAGAACCACAAACAACACAAGCATCATCATTAACCACACCAAAACGAATAAGCCAGTCTCTAGTTGGCAGCCTATCGAGGATGACCATCCACTAAATTAAGAAAAATTTTGGTATGTGGGAAGGGAACCAAATGATCTTATGCCAACTCACCTTCTCCCTGCTAATTCTAATGTTGTCCCAAATCCATTTGCTTTTTATCAGGCTCAAATTTGCACTGGGAGAAAACAGTCTACTCGCATCATCCCGCAACCTCAGTAATTTGTTTAAAATCCAGCTATATTGAGGCTTACAACCAACCTCCCAATAACTTTCAGCTTTAAAGCAATAAGCTTGTAACCAGGTGATCCACAGAGAACCTTCATTAGCCAGGATGTTCCTAATTAGCAGCAAGCAACAAGATTTACTTCAAAGAGCAAGGTCTTTAAGTCCTAGTCCACCCTCGGATTTTAAAGAACATATCTGACCCCAGCCCACATGGGCTCCTCTAGCTGAGGCGTCACAACCTTTCCAGAAAAATCTCATATATAATCTCTCGACATCCTTGATGACTCCTTTAGGAATGACAAGCTGCCGACACCAAAAATTAAAGATGCTAAAGAGGACATATTTGACTAGCTGTAATCTCCCTCCAAAGCTAAGCTTTTTGCTGGACCATTGATTCAATTTGTCCTTTATTTTTTCTAATAAAGTGGCACAATCCTTACTAGAAAGTTTGCGTGTGACTAAGGGAACCCCTAGATACCGGACTAGGAGCTGCGCCATATGAAATACAGTGGCTAACCGAATATGATCAAGAATAATTTGATTCAAGCCACACGCGAAGAATTCAGTTTTAGGGACATTCAGCTTGAGTCCTAAAAATTCATAAAACTTTTCCAAAGTACTCTTAACACCAAGCACCGAATCAAGGGAACCATGGCATAATACTAGGAGGTCATCCGCAAAGCAGAGATGAGTGAGCTGGATTCTTTTGCATTTTGGGTGAAATCTGAAAATTCCCTTCCTAGCAGCAATATTCAAAAGCGATGACAAAACATTCATCACAAGGACAAACAAATAAGGTGACAAAGGGTCACCTTGCCTAATCCCCCTTGTACCCTTAAAATAACCCACCAAGCTGCCATTCAAAGAGACCGAGTACATGGGTGTAGTGATGCACACTTTGATCCAATTACAAAATTTGTCAGGAAGACCCATCGCTTCAAGAACGGCTAGCAGGAAATCCCAATTGACATAATCAAAGGCCTTCTGGAGGTCTATTTTAATAGCACATCTAGGAGAAAGACTTTTCCTAGAATAGCCCTTGACCACTTCCTGAGCTAGCAATGTATTTTCCACAATATTCCTACCCTTAACAAATATTGTTTGATTCAAGGAAATCATTCCAGGGAAATAAGGGGTAAGTCTATTAACAAGGATTCTAGTTATTGTTTTATATACCACAGAACAACAAGATATGGGCCTAAATATTTTGCCAAAGAAGCATTAGGAGACTTAGGAATAAGCACTAAAGTTGTAGCATTAAACGCAGGCAGCAGACAAGAGGTTTGAAAAAAATACCTCACAGTAGAAATAAAGTCCTTGTCCACAATGTTCCAAGCGGCTTTGAAGAAACCAGACGTAAACCCATCAGGACCTGGACTTTTAACCTTCCCTTGCATGAATAAGGCCTCATTGATCTCCAAATCGCTAACTTCCCTGATGAGGAGAGAAGTAGCACCATTAGGCAAAGAGTATTTCAATAAATCAGACAGACATTTAGCAGAGAATCCTGAAACTAAGGGATCAGCTGAGCCAATGAGATTGGTGAAAAATCTTACTAACTCAGAAGCCATTTCATCAAAAGAATCATATCTCTGGCCATCCTCACCCAAAACAGTTCTAATAGTGTTTCGCTTCTTATTAGCTTGAGTTCTCTGATGAAAGAAACTGGTGTTCAAATCACCCTCCCTTAACCAATGAGCTTTAGCCTTTTGTTTATAAAAATCAGATTCGACTATCTCCAAAACCACCAATTCAGCCTGTATTTTCCTCTCATCGGCAATACTTCTCCGATCGGGATGAGCCAAGTTAAGGATTTGAATCCTATACGCAAAAATATTATTTCTACAATCTTTAAACACTTAAATATAATAATATTTTTAAATATTTAAAATATTTTATATTTTATTTAAATATTATATAAAATATAAAAGATAATATTTAAAATAATCCTATACGCATTAACCTATACGCATGTAAATGTATACATGTTAATTTTGCCTATAAACCTATACGCATTAACTTATATATACAAGCTATAAGGCTTGTTCATAAATTTTACCAATAGACTCAAAAGACGAATCATATATTGATGCAAACCACTTAAAACCTTTAAAAAAATGCCGAAAATAAACCCTAAAATCGAAGTGAACTTTATGAATGTATAAGTTGGTATATGAAGGCAAACCCTCAATAATGTATAAAAATAGAGGATTTAGTTAAACTCAATGAAGGCAAACCCTTAATACTATATGAAGGCAAAATCTTTTTACTCTCCTCTTAAAATTTTATAAACTCGTACATTAATATAAAATTCTACATCCGTCTCTAATTAAAAATATTATTGAATGTTTTAGGTGCCTAACTATACATCGTCAGAGTATAGAATCCAGTTAAGCTCTTCTTCCAGAGGCAAGAACAAGCTGCCAAAGCGACCAACAAGAACCACTCAACAAAGGGTTGGGAATCGACGTGAGTAGTCAACCTTTACCCTACCTTTTTTCGTATAACTTTATCTATATTTCATGGACTGTTTCTTTTTCCAGCTCCTGAGAAGAGGCATAGAGCACCTTCATTGTACAATCAGTTCATCAAGTAATTATAATAGTGACTGTAATTTGATTATTTTATAATTATTTTTATAGTTTTTTTTAATGATTTGAAAAATATGGGGTCTTTTTTGTAAAGAGAGGAGATTCAAAGGATCAAGATGAACAATCCTGATATCAGCCACAGGGAGGCATTTAGCACTGCTGCTAAGAACGTAAGCTTAACATTCATCAAATAATAATCTCAGATTTCTATTTGCCAGAAATCAAACCACTAACAGATTTTGTATATGATATTACAGTGGGCACGCTTCCCTCACATTGATTTTGGACTCATGTTGGAGGCTGATAACCAACCCAAGCTGAATGATGTAAGTGTTTGATTTTTTACAAGCATATATTTATGTTTTCAGCTTAGGTTTTGCTTGTGCTGATGATTCACCATTTTTGTGTCTTTATCTCGGATGATTCTGTGCAGGCTTCGACCGAGCATTTCCAACAGCTGCTTAAGTGAAAATGGGTATTTCGCTTTCGAAGATGATTGTAGTGATAAATGTGTTTCTCTGTGTGTTGGTTGGAAGTGAAAGGCTTTTATTATATATGAAGGCCGAACGAAGTTGCTTGTTTTTAATAGGGTATGAACAGTTTGCTTTTATCCACCAGAAATTCTATGTGTAATGTAATGGTTGAAGCTATTGACTTTGGAAAGAAAACCATTTCACAAACTCAGCAGCAAATCATGGAAAAATCAAACCAGATAATCCAATCGTGGAAGAAAGCCCTAGAGGAATAATGAATAACCAGTAGACGTGGGTATTTCATAATTATGCAAATAATGAAATTTGAGCTCCCCTAACGATCCATGCCAAAGACCAATGTGGCCCGAGCCCGATTTAGATTTGATCCAAAACACGAAAAGCTTAGATTTTTCTCTTTAAATAGGCAATGAGGTTGTTTACTACCGTATCATCATCTTACACGATGGTAAGGAGGGTCAATCTGTAGACATGAGAGTAATCAATGGAGTAGAGGCTGGCTCGAACATTACAAGCGGTCTATCTAAGAGAGTATAACTTTTGACTATGAAGCCAGTCGACACATTAGCTTCCCACTTGATTAGAAGGTAGTCAACTATTCAAACCTTCGGTAAAGGGCATTATTGGCACACACGATGATATGATCATGCCCGAACTAGATCCAATCCAAAAAAAAAAAACTTGAAATTATAATTAAACATGCATTAATATATTTATATAATATTCTAAATAAGAATAAATGATAATATATTATAAATATTACATAATTGAGTAGAAATTTATTATCAATAAATATAATTAATAATCTTTATTTTAAACTAATAAATTCAATAAATTTTTAGAAAGTATTTATAAATATAAAATTATACATTAATTATTTTAAAGATTAATAACTGATACACTGATAATATATAATTCTATAAAATTGGAGGCTATGTTTTTTATATAAAAATAAAAATGAAATTAAGTTATAGTAAAAGATTTTATTTTTATATTAAAATTTTACGATTGACGTGAAGAAAATATAATTTACTTATTTTTATTATTTTAGTTATAGTAAAAGTGTAGTACAAAATGTATTATTGCCTAATATTAATGTTCAACAAAACAAAACCAGCGGTTGAGCGCTTAATATTAAAGAAACATGGGACCGAGTCAAAATTAAACAAACATAATCCATCACCACAAATAAATAGTGACACGTTGCATTAACTCCCCTATCTTATTCGCCCTTCTTTCCATTCCATCACCGCTATGTTCGTCATTCAACTGTCATCATTTTTCCCTCAAAATTTTGCCGTCTTTTTACTTTCGTTTCTTCAAACAAAATCTCCCATCTCTCTCTGAATCTCTCCTCGAAACAATTACGGCCAAAACAAAACATTTCTAAGAAACGATGTCGTGTTCGTCATCGTTCAGGAAGCGCTCGTGCCTTTCACGGAGATTCTCGAGATCATCCTCCAAAACGGCGGCGATAGCAACGGTGAATCAACCAGAGTTTTCTTCTCCTTCGCCGCCTCCGACGGAGGAGGAAGGGGATTCCTGGTCCACAATGCTGCCGGAGTTGTTAGGTGGAATTATGAAGCGCGTGGAGTCGAGTGAAGATCGGTGGCCTCAGAGGCAAAACGTCGTCGCATGCGCCTGCGTATGTAAGAGGTGGAGAGAAGCTATGAGAGAGATCGTTAAGGCTTCTTGCCCTGGCAGCGGAAAAATCACTTTTCCGTCGTGTCTTAAACTGGTAATTTAAAACTTTCCTTTAATTATTTTCCAATTTTCTTTTGTTTTTAATTGAATTTGGGATAATCTCATGAACATGTTAAAGTTTTCGATATTTAAAATTTTTAGGATTTATATGTTCCGGAACTGGTGAAAGTTTTGTTTTCATTTGTTTATTTGTTTGTATTTTAATTTTTTTGCATGAATTCCTTTGCATTTGGATTTTATTGATTGATACATTTTGTTCTTATATAATTTGATTTAGGGAATTACTTTATGTTTCTCCTGTGTATTGGGTGATTTTAGGGAAATCTAAGAGTTATATAGGTACAAATCTGATGCAAATGTCATTTTTTTTAACATTTAAAATTCGGTGAAATTTTAGCCATGTATTGTCAACTTTTTGCTTTTAACATGATTTGCTTCTAACAGTAAGGAAACTTCTTTTTCCTGTTCTGGGAAAGTTATCATATTAGGGTAAGGATTGTTTTCTGGGCAGTTCAGAAATATGGAATGGTCCCTTCCAATCACCATAAAGTAACTTCTTGTTTTCATTTACACAAATGAAATTTGAAAAAAAAAATAAAGCATATTGATTTATCTGTTTTGCGATCTTTAAATTTGCTTGTTCGCTTATTGCTGTTTAGTTTGAGGTGCGGTTCTCAGAAAATAAGTTGCTCCGCTGATTGTGGTTATGAAGCTAAAATGCATTTGGGATTTAGCATTGTCAAGCGATCAATTTGTTGCATGTCTTGTGACTGATGGTTTTATTACCTTTTTGCTAACGCAGCCTGGTCCAAGAGATATTCCAAACCAGTGCATTATAAAGCGATGCAAAAAGAGCTCGACATTCTACCTTTATCTTTCTCCTACGCCATGTAAGTGATTTTTTTTCTTTTTTTTGGTTTTAAAAACAAAACATGATGACAGCATGTTGATTAACCCTTGCCTAATTCAGAATGGCCTGTACTTAACCTTGAAAATATCCAGAACTTTAAACACAGACCATCCATCTACCTAATGATCATTGTTTCATTACTTAGTCTGATACCTGATTTCTTTTTCTAAGCTTTACACCATACTGTGTCTTGACCAAATTGAAATATGTTACATTAAGCATGCAAGCAATTATTTCCCTCGAAAATGTTGGCAGTTGAAAAGCTACCTAAGTTTGTTACCTTTTGATTTCTGTTCTTGAGAGAATGTGGAAGGGTTTTATTGTTTTTAGCCAAACAATTTCCTTATTTGTGGTTACCATGCAACTAGGTTATGTTAGTGGTGGAAATCTGCCTTATTTGAATGTTTTTTTGCTCATTTTTGGCAGCATTCACCGATGAGGGGAAGTTTCTTTTGGCAGCAAAAAGATATAGACATGGTGCTCATATTGAGTATATTCTATCCGTTGATGCAGATGATATATCTCAAGGCAGCAATGCCTATGTTGGGAAGTTAAGGTAGGAGACTTGTATGATGTTTTAGTGATGTATTTTGTGCTATGATCCTTCTCTTTCTGGAACGTTGAAAGAAGCTGCACTTTGATTTTAGGGTATATCTTTTACGGTTCTTAGGAATACAGTTTTTAAGTGTCAGCAGAGCAGTTTAAAAAAATCTGAAGAGAGAAGCTCTAGCATTTGAGGTGAATATGGTTGAATTTGAGAGAGCATGTGGAAGATTACTCATATGGTGGGGGTAGCAGTCTTTGTTTAGGATGCCATTACTTTTTCTTTTTTGTAATGTTATAGTGTAAATAGAATACCTTGGAGTTCCTTTTATTCTTTTAGTTGACACTCACATGTAAATTTAAAACCTTTGCAGTTCGGATTTTCTAGGTACCAACTTTACGATACATGATAGTCAACCGCCACACAGTGGTGCGAAGCCTTCGAGCATTAGATCAAGTCGCAGATTTTCAAGTAAGCGAATCAGCCCTCAAGTTCCAGCTTGCAATTTTGAGGTGGGAAATGTGTCTTACAAGTTCAATCTCTTGAAATCAAGAGGTCCGAGGAGGATGGTCTGCACTGTGAAATGCCCTTTGGTCGAAGAAAGGACTGACAAGCATTTAGACGACTCCAAAGTGAAAATGCCCGAGAATGCTGCACCTGGTCATGCAATTTTGAATAACAAAGCTCCGAGATGGCATGAACATTTACAGTGCTGGTGTTTGAATTTCCATGGTCGGGTAACGGTAGCATCCGTGAAAAACTTTCAGCTGTCTGCGACTGTAGAACCAAGCCAACCAGGAGGGGAAGGAGATGAGGAAACGGTTCTCCTCCAATTTGGGAAAATTGGGGACGATACATTCACCATGGATTATAGGCATCCCTTGTCAGCCTTTCTTGCATTTTCCATCTGCCTAACAAGCTTTGGTACCAAATTGGCTTGTGAATGATTTTCTTTGAAATGTTTATACTTATCTCGTGTTACATGTTTAATATAAATATTTCTACATAATGTTTAAGTTCATAAGTTTTGGACAGCCTTTATTTAATGGTACAAAGCAAATGATAGTACACGTTCCTATAGCATCTGTAACTTTTTCTAAAAGCGTTGGTTCGAAACGGGAGTTAACGGTTCAGTGATCAGACTAAGATAGGTTGAAAACAAAAGTGACCAAATGTATTCTTTTAAAAACATTACTAAAATAAGACGAATTGAAAACAAAAGGGGACCACTACCATAGTTTACTCTAGAAAAATTACCTCTCCTGTCCATCAACTCGAGGTTTTATTTAATTCTACATTATGTTGCCTCACAACTTCCTTCCAAAGGAGGTGAAAAACTAGCAAAATCCTGCTACTATATATTCCAGGCATAAAAATCCAATTGCAACAAGCTAAAAGGGTCGAGCATATTTCACATTTCTTGGTGTTTGTAGTTGCCGAAACCTTGATAAACTACGAAATTCACCAATGCAAAACACAAACTACACAGTTCATCCCATGTTACAGTCAAGCAAGTGCACAAACTTCATTTCATGGTCATAAGACATAGTCATCACGCAAAGACCCAGTAGAAAAACATTCATTTACATCACCATGTTTTAGGGCTCGAGACGTTGGACGGAATTTTAGTTAAGGTTTTCTTTCTACGAGACCGTCTCACTTTTTCCCTCGCAGCTTTGCACCAAGAGCCCTCTCCAGTTTACCAAAGAAATTTCTTTGCGTGTAGTAAGGGAAAGAAGATGGTAAAATTTGTCAAATTTTATCGTCTTTTCTTTGACTAAAATAATTAAGCCATTTGGCTTGATTTTCATCTTTCCTTTTTCTTCCAATTTTGTCCATCCAATTTTAAAATATCTCTAAACAAGTCATTACCATTTTCTCCAACAACTAGTTAAAATTGAACTAAAATTTCATCTTTAACTTTTGGAAACTTTACAAGTTAGTCTCTAAACTTTTATATTTTTTCTAACAAATTAGCAACAAAAATTCGAATAGCACTCTAATCCAATACACATAGGGATGGCAAACGGGTACAGTTTCGTGGATTCCGCACCGCATCCGCTCCAATTGGAGCGGGGATGGGTATAATTTTAGCGGGTAGTGGGCGGTAATGGGTTTGAGACATTACCCGCCCCGCATCCGCCCGCCCAGCTAAATATCTATTAAATTTTGGACCATTATAAATTTAGGTGTAATTTTAGAGACTAATTTATAAATTTTAATATTATATAATATATAACATATATTTTAACCAAATATTAAGGATATTTAGTCTTTAATCTGATATTTAATTAGAGAAATATTCGGCTTTTTGATTAAACTCATAATCTCACTAACCACGTCACTTTACATGTTCTTTAGCCCATGCTGCCCATCCAAACACAAAATAGCCGTACTATAATCATTAACATCAAAAGTAACAGTTTTTATGTTCTTTAGCCCCTCAAAACCCATATTATGCGCACTATGAGCATTAACATCGAAAGCAACACAACAATCTAGTTCTGCGACTACATGCTTCCTACAATTTGTCTCCATAACATTCGTAGAGCCACTCCTCTGACAAATTGAAGCATGCGTTGCTACCCCATCACGAACTGTCTGGAAACCAACTCTAACATCCCATTAGTTTGCTGTCAGGTGGGTCTAGATGGGTATGTCGCTAGTGGGTAGTGGGTGTGGGGATGAATTTGAAAATATATCCACATGGGCGGGTGTTGATTTGAAAATTTGTACTTATTATGGGTTGTGGGCGGGTGGTGGATTGAAAAATATTAGGTGGGTATGGGGAGGGGAGGGGGTATCCGCACCCGACAGGTTGTGGGCGGGGTGGTGGATTGAAAAATATTAGATGGGTATAGAGATGGGGAGAGGGTATCCGCACCGACAGGTGTGGGCGGGTGGTGGATTGAAAAATATTAGATGGGTATAGAGATGGGAGAGGGTATCCGCACCCTAAATACACATATAACAAATGGGCCCCTCTTCCCTGAAATATTTTCTCTTCTCTCCTCAATCTTCTATTTATCTCGTCTTATAATTCACTCTTCGAACTTCAATGTCTATATACATAAATTAGAAAGAATATATATAATTATAAACGAAAAACAATGTCTGACGCCCAATCCGAAATACGTGATCACAATCAGCAACAAAATAAACCCACCAAATCTTCTTCTTCCTCCTTTTCTATCTTCCTTTCTCTCTTCTCCGGTTCCTTGAGAATTTTCTTTCAAAACAAAAACATTTTGCTCTCAATCCTGCTTTTCTTGGCCCTCCCTCTTTCCTTCCTTCTCTTCTCCCTTTCTTTGTCTTCCCGCCCTCTCAAACGCCACATCTTCCACCTCGAATCCGTTGCTCTGCTTACCTCCACCAGCTTCGAATCGCGTCACCTCTTGAGAGAGTCTCGTGAAGAATCCATCTCCCTCCTTTGTCTCAAACTTTTCTATTCCTTTCCTTCCTCCATTTTCTCTCTTCTCACCTTCATATCCGCCGTCCACGTTGCCTCCGTCTCCCCTCCCCACCGTCCCTCCTTCCTCTCCACCGCCGCTGCTATCGGACTCTCTTGGAAGCGCGTCGTTGTCACCTCACTATGTTCGTACACACTCTTCATCCTCTACATCCAACTCCCGCAGCTTCTCGCGGCCACATTACGGAACCACCCCCGGGTCAGCCTACCCATCTTGGTGATCGGTTCGGGTCTCGAAGTTCACTTGATGGGAGTGCTGGGTTTAGGCCTGGTGGTGTCGGCGTTAGAGGAGAAATTCGGGTGGGAAGCAATTCGGATCGGGTCGGTTTTAATGGCGGGACGGAGGTATTTCTGGTGGTTCGTTACTTGCATGTTGGTGGGTGTGTCGGGATGGATCGGGAATCGGTTTGAGAAATTAACGGAAGGCGAGGAGTACGTCAAGTCCGCCGTTTGGACGGTGTTCATGGGGTGGGAAACGGCGGCTCTGTTGTGGTTTTACGGTGTGCTGGTCATCTGGAGTTCTATTGTTACCACCATTTTTTACAGCTACTGTAAAAAACGGGGTCAATACGGGTGCTAACCCGAGGCCGAGGGCAACTGATTCGGATTGTACAGAGTAAATTTTGCTTTCATTTTCATCTCACTATTATTATTATTTTTCTATGCCAATTATAAATAATTTCCTTTCTTAAATAATATATCAATGACTGCTTTGTTGTTCATTAGAGTTTTTTTTCTTCTTATTTTGAGCAACGGATTTTATCATGCATTTCGGATGGATAATGAAAGTAAACACAATAATTTTAAGTAGAGGTGTTTACGGTGGGTTAATTATATTGTTTAATATTAATAATTTAATTAATATGCATGCATGCATCAACTGACGAAGTTATTGTGTTGCTTCCAAAGTTATCAAATAAATGCATGCATCAAACCTCCCTAAGATCAATTTTACACAAGTTATTAAGGTTGGGTTGCGAAGATAAATCAAAGAAATCATGTCGAAGCCTTATGGCACCAAATGAGACCAAAACATTGGTGCAGAGCAACAATCACAAATGGCATGCACAATATCCTCCTTTCACTTATGCTCTCAAAGCCATCAACGTTGAATAAAATGGATATTCCTATAATGTAGATATATTTAAAGTAGCATGGATTAAGTAATCTCAGTGATCAAATGACGATTATTATCTTTAGAGTTTTCATATTCGAGCACAAGTTTATATGGATGTCCAAGTATTTATTGTCAAATGATTGAGAGTAGGGATGGGCATTTAAACCCGACCCGACCCGATCGGGTAGTATTTTTCTAAAAAAAATTCGGGGTTGGGTCGGTCGGATTTTTTTAATGTGGTGTTCGGTTCGGGTTTAGGGTGAAAAAAATCTGACCCGACCCGATATATATAATTTTACCCTATATATTTAGGGATAATTACAATAATACCCCTCTATATAATTTTTCCAATTAAGTCATTATTTTTATTGAATAAAAATACTTTTTTATTATTTCGGGTCGGGTCGGGTCTCGGGTGGAGGCTCTCTTGTTCTCGGGTCGGGTCGGGTAGATAAAAACCCGACCCATGCCCATCCCTAATTGAGAGTCTTTCAAATACATATCTTATAATCATTTAGACTAATAAAAATATATTTCAAGTAAGTTCCATTTGTATTTTAACAAGATATTTCCAAACTTAAAATATAATATAATTAAACATTATAATATAATTACATAAAAATGTAAGTATATCTTAATTTATTATGCTATGTTTTTTGTAGTATATATTATATATATAATTATTAAGTTTAGATTTTAATTATTATAATTATAAAATTATAGAATATAATTACACCAGATCTTAATACTCTCTGTGTGAGTGATTGGAGGCCTCCAATTTCACTCGATTCAATAAAACTCATAAATATAATGATTGACAAAACATGTTATGTAAATACTTAATTTTGTATTTAACTTTTTTATAATAAAAAAATAATATTTAGATGCTATTTCCATTTAAATATTACAGTTATTTAACTTTTTTCACTAAATCATGTGGATAAATTTGTATCAATTTACCAAATTAAACCAAAACATTATCAAATCTATATTCAGAGCTACAAATTTTATACAAGACTCAAACTAAAAAAAACTTGAAAATTTTGTGGAGGAAAAACAGGGTTATTACGTTTTATATACGACTTATAAGGATTAAATTAAAAGTTTAAAAACTTAGAGAGATAAAAATGAAATATGACAAATTTTCAGTTCAGTCAATGGTCTTTATAGTCACCCAAATTGGAAGATATGTAAATGTAAGTGCTTTTATGGCGAAAAGGAAAGGGGGGAAGAAAACTCATAATAACACAAGAAACAAGTTGGGCAACTTTAGTTATGGTGGGGCACTGTCTTAATTATTGCATCAAATATGAAGGCTCATGACTTGTTGCTTTCACCCTCCTTGTCTATCTATTTTTCATTACCTACCTCAACTTTCTCATTCCTTTTAATTTTTTCATAAATTAATATTTGACAAAATTGGTCACATAATGTAATAGAGTTTGTTTTTGGCTATATAATTAATAAAAAAAAAATAGAATGACAAAATTAAAATAAAATAAAATTTGAAGGTCCAAATAAGTATTTATCCCTATATATTTTTTAATGAAAAAAATTAGGCGAACAATGGCCTAAAGACAATGAATAGCTCTGAGGGGAATTATTTTCTCGGATAGTGTAATTATTACAATGTATGTCGGAAGATACTTAAATTATATGACTTTTTCGAGAAGATGTTCGAATGACACAAAGTCTTTGGAAAGATTGTAACGTTAAGCTTTTAGACGTGCATGCAATTAGGGAGAAGATAACGTGTTGTCAATACATCTTTTCAAAGACGTCGTGTCATTCGGGCGTCCTCCGACATGCACTGTAACAATCACGCTACATGAAAAAATAATTCCCTGATGCCTTGCATGATATTTTTTATATCATATTATCTAATCAAAATTGCCTTAATAATTCATATTTTTTTAATTTTATTTTTTAATAATTATTGATTCTTATTTTTTTTATAAATTTTAAATTATTCCTAACAAAAAATAGTGTTATGCCAATAATTAACATGTATGTGACTACTTCATTACTGTCAACAAATATTTAATGTTTTTAATGATTAAAATACTTAATTGACATATTCTGTTAATTGAAAGGCAAAATTAATTAATTTCTTTAAAATAGTAGAAGAAATTTTTATACTTTTTTTTCAAAAGAGTTCACCCAATAGTAGACTTGTTGGAATTGATGTGTAAAATAAATAGCTAGCTCTATATAGGTTGGATAAACTATAACAATTATTTTGGGGGATTTCAGTTAAAATCATATATGCTCTATCATTAACAATCCGTCGGTCTAGTGAGATAAAAATTATATTAGTAAGGTCAGGTTCAAACATTGCAGTTTGTTAATTGAGCAAATTAGATTGAGAGGGTCGTACTATAATGGATCTCTGTAAAACTTAATCTGAATTAGTTATATCTATTTCATAACTTCAATCACTTATTCATTGGGACAAAATAAATGAGAAAATGATTTTTATATGAGAAAAATATTATGAATCATTAGATTTTTATTTAATTTATAAATATAAATATTAGACATATATATTTATTTTATAGCTTAGGGTTTACACATTTCCCCCGTTTATGTTATACCAATATTTCATAGTTATAACTTATGATCATCATTCATTGAGGTAAAAAAAAAGATGAGGGAAGTATTATAATTAGTACGAAAATTTCTTATAATATTTAATTATTTTTATCTTTTTTATATAATTTGTTTTACTTGAACTATAAACAAGGATGAAGGAGTCTCCCTCTTCCCCAACAAACCAAACCCTTATATAGAAAAGTTGAATAACAATCATGGTCCGAAATAAGTGAAACTCCTTCCTATAAATTTACCCTTTTGTCCACCATTGCTAAGCAAAGAAGAACAAGTAGAGAAAGGCAGAAATGGCTAAAGCTTGTGTAATCACATTCCTTTTCTTTCATTTGCATTTCGTCCTGCCTCAATTTCGCCTCCGGTGCAGGCGCTGAAACAAAACAAGTTCATCATCGTAGGCCGAGTTTACTGCGACACTTGCCGTGTCGAATTCGAGACCAAACTCAGCGAACCCATAAATGGTATATGATCAAATCACTTAATTTTTTTTGACAATCTCATTCTCTTTTTATATTTCATGCGCACCTAAAAAGTTAGTTGACGAAGGTGTTTCTTTGGTATATTATAACTGACAGGTGCGGTTGTGAATCTGGAATGCAAGAATCGTACCGACGGAGTAACCACCTTTCAAAGCCCAGAGATAGCGACGAATCCATCGGGAGAGTACAGAATCGAAGTGACGGGTGATTACGAGGATTCGGACTGCGATATCAACCTGATAAAGAGTCCCAGGGAGGACTGCAATCAACCTACGGAAAGTTGGAGGAAAGCTAGGATTGTCCTCACCGCACGCGACGGCGTCAGCGGCAACCTTCGCTATCCCAACAACCTTGGTTCAAGAAGAAGAATGAAGCTCTCCCTGGGTGTAAACAAGTTCTTACAGACATGGGCTATTATGAACTCCAGGAAGAACTTGGCAACGAAGACGTCCCATAAACGCAACACTAACGAAAAGCTTTATCATGAATTTCCTCTTCAACATCTAATAAGTTGAACTTATGTCCATCTGATAAAAGTTTACTTTATGACGTCATTCAATTAAAGATAATAAAAGTAATTTATTTACAATATATAGTAGATGTTATAGTAATGATGTTGTTTTTATTTTATGAATATTTAAATAAAATAATTCCAAATTATCATTGATCAGATACATAGTTTAAAGTTTTCGCATACAAATTAGTCTAATATTTTTCTCCGTAATTTGATTTTATTAAGGATTAAATTATAATCCCTAAACATAAATTATGTGCCTCTTTAAAATCCTTCTTAAACTTAAACGGAAGAAAAGAGTGCAACATAACTAGGGATTTGGATGATAGTTGATTATGGATGTTTGGCAATAGAATCAGTGGTCGGAAATGACCGGAAATGATCAATGACGACTAGAAATGGGGTTTGAAATTGATGATATTAGGATTTTGAGGGTTTTTTTAATTTTAGAGAAATTTAATTTTTTTTGGGTAGTTTTCAAGTTTTTTAAATAAAAATTTCAAAATAATATAAACACAACATTTGTATTTAACTGATTTTTTTAACGGTTGCTACAGTCTAGACACTTAAAACGATAACGTTTATAACATTGTTAGAAATGTAGTATGAATACAACAATTTCTTTTTCCTTCTCAATCTTCCTATTTTATTTGAATTAAATAAAAATCACAAACTTTTTGAAAATTTTACATCTAAATCAAATAATAACCTATTATATGACGGGTCAAATATGAGCCAATAAAAATATTTCAGATGCTATGCTATTTGTTTATTTTTAAAATATTTTAGATTAAAAGCCAGTTTTTATTTTTGAAAATAAAATTCTCTATTTCTTTTAAATTAAAAGATTGGGAAATAGAAAATTATCTTAAATAAAATAAAGAGAAACAAAAATTAATTATAGAGAGTAGAATAATAATGAGGAGAATTAGTCATTCTTATTAGATGGGCAAAAGGCCAACTTTTAATACAAGTGGTAACGAAAATACATAGTATTAAAGTTTTTCCCCTTAGTTGATGTGTTCAAAGGATGTCCTGATCTTTTCCAATTTCATCCGTAAGTAATATCCCATCTCTGTAAGAACTTGTTTGCACTCAGGGAGAGTTCCTTCTTCTTGAACCCAAGATTGTTGGCAAGCGAATGTCGCTGCTAATGCCGTCGTCCGCGGTGAGGACCACCCTGGCTTTCCTCCACACTTCGGTCGGTTTCGTCGCAATCCGGCAGAGGACTTCACCAGAGAGACGTCGCGCAGTCAGAATCCGCGTAATCCTTCCACTTCGATTTGTAGTATCCTTTTGTATCGGTTAACATTAACAGGCTGCGATATGTATAGGATCCATCGGTTCGGTTTTTACAGTCCAGCACTACAGTTGCACCTGTCAAATTATAATGTACCAAAACTCACATTTGTCAACACAACTTCATATATGTGAATTATTTTCATGTATATACAGGGACGAACACATAATTTTACATGTTGATTATGTTTATGTATACGTAATGTAAAAAATATCGATTATATGTACCACTTATGGGTTGGCTGAGCTTGGTTTCGAATTCGACACGGCAAGTGTCGCAATAAACACGGCCTACAATAATGAACTTGTTTGATTTAGTAGCATTTTGCCGTGGGCGAAGCTAAGGGAGGATGAAATACAGACGACGAAGAAAAGGAGGACGAATTCAGAGGATTTTGCCATTTCTTTATTTTTTGCTCTTTATTGGGTTATCCATGCTGGACAAAGAATAGTTAATTTATAAGGAGGGGTTCACTTATTTTAGGGTACCCTAAAATACCGGTGTTGTTGTTTCTATTTTTTAGGTTTTTGTTTGTTGAGGGACGGAAATTCATCAAATAAAACAACTAATTATCTAAATCAGGATTACAAAGACTGAATTTTTCATGCTAAAATAATATATGATACACTATGATATATCATAGACTATAATACATTATATTCATGGACTGGTCCATTTAGACTCCGAGGTTCCCAGCCTGTGACTCTAATCGGAGACTACCTAAGGAGGGAAGACTTCAAAACCCAATTGGTCAGTCCACACCTTGATTCCAAGTAGGAATAGTCATTGATCGAGTTTTTAACTAATTTGACCCACTCAAGAAATATACCCCTCTACCCAAAATTTGTATTGACTCCGTTTTAAAAAAGTTTTTATCCGATCTAAAATTCAATTCTAACTTTGAAATAAAAATTTGTATTTGGTCTGACATAAATATAAATATATTTTTTTGCTTACAAGACCTAATTAAAAAAATAAAGATAGATATTAATGCAGTTATCTCTAAATATATAAGAAAAATTAGATTATTATCCCGAGTTGACGGATTTTCACTCTAAAATCGAACTCTACTTGGCCTAATCTTATTCTTTACAAAACTCAATCTAAACTAAACATAATTAAGAAAACAACCTATAAGGTAATTAGGTCAGAACCAATTATTCGGGTCAAATTGTCATTCTTAATCCTAAGTTTAAAAGTGAACCATTCTTAGTGAAAGCGTTAGATTGAAGAAGTTCAATTGATCAACCTAAGAAGTGCTAAGAGGAGGTGGATTAGTCTTTTAAAAAATTTTGGTATGAAGTAAAAATATATAGATAATTTGCACAAGGATTTATAGTAGATCGACTTATAAACCAAGTCTACATTCGCAACCTTAATTTCACATTAAAGATTTTCTAACAAATTCACTAATTTTTTTAAACTCAAGAATAACATTTATAAAACCTTTTATTTTTCAATGACTAAACTAAAATCACTCTTCTTTTACAAATGTTAAAAGATGTAAATAAAAAAAATTCACGAGATAAATGTTTACAAGAATTAAGTTTACTCGAAAATAAATAAAAGATTTACGATAAACTCATATACAAGAGAAGAGAAAAGAGAAAAGTGAAAATAAATTTTGCAAAAATAAAACTGCTTACCCCCTTTGCTTCACCACTCGATCCTTGCCAATGGCCAACAGTAATCTCCCTCGCATAATCATTAAGGTTCCTCTTTCGAGCTTCCTCCGATCCTTCTCGATTCAACCGATTTGTTTGTTTCACGAGAAAACTCTCGACAATCTTTACATTCTTTTTTATTTTATTTATTTTCTGGATTTCTAGAGTTTTGGTTTGATAGCTGATTTGTTTATGCTTTTGATGAATTAAAAGCTTCAGCTAATTATGTTTAGAACGTATTCTTATATTGAATAAAGGATTTTTTCTGTGAATTTTGTTGATTTTTCATGCTTTATTTTTGGTTTCTTTACCTTTGATCTAAACAGGAAACTCAGCGTCTCCTCAGTGAACCAGGTGAATACTTTTCTTTTTTTCTTTTATAGAAATTCTTGTTAAATTTTGTTCAGTATTGGTGTTTTAATTTAGTATTTTAAATGTTATGAGCTAAACAATTACTACCTCTCTTGGTTTCTTTTTTCCTGTTAACTAAAAGATTTTTTCCCTCTCTTAGCACCTGGAATTAGTGCTTCGCCATCAGAGGATAATATGCGATATTTCAATGTGATGATCCTTGGTCCCACTCAGTCTCCGTATGAAGGTAGTTGATGTTTTAAATCTAATGGTTGCGAATAGTTTTGATACGTTTTAGAAATGTCAATTCCTGTTGATTGTTCAATAGTTATGGCTGATTTAAGTCATTAAGAAGTGATACCACTGCCATTTTTCAGTTACCAATTTATCACAATACACATTAAGTAGGAATTTGGTTTGAGAAAAATGGTTATCCGGTGTTTATTTAGCTTCATTTTCCTTTCTTTCCATGGTTTTCTATCATTTTTAAGAGACAAATGAGCTCATGTTTTCGATCTTAAAATTTAGGTTCAATTAGCATGCTTTTTCAGTTTTATACAGTGTTTAGTCTGGTCTTTGAAAGTTGTTTTTGGAAATATTTTAAATTCTTTCTTTGTTGTTTGTTTCATCTTGTAATTAATTTTGCAATTATGTACATTACATGATGCATTTCCTTGTTTGGGATGTCTTGTTTAGGAGGGTTTTCAAGTTGGAACTATTTTTGCCTGAAGAATATCCCATGGCTGCTCCCAAGGTACTCAACTTTTCTGCATCAGTTCTTAATATTTAGCATGACGTTGTTTTTGTATCCATTGTTGTATGTTTATTGTTCTTCCTTTGATATTCTATATTACTTGGCTTCATCATGAACTCATCTGAAAATGTTTTTATATGGTATTTAGTATGATCTAGGGATGCTGTAGTTTGCATTTAGAACGATTTTTACTTTGTTGCGTTGTTTTCTCCAGGTTGTTTTTACTATTACTGCATCTTGTTTCTATCACTCTCTGTGGTCATTCATTGGTGATTACAAAATATAGTTCCCTTTGGTTTGTAAATTGTTAATCAGTGTTGAAGCAAAGCCTGAATTAAATTATATTATATATTGATACTTAGTGTACTATTACTGCATCTAGTTTCCGTCACTCTATGAGGTCTTCTGGTGATTAAAAAATGTACCTGAGGTTTGTTAAATTGTTAATCAGTGTTGAAGCAAAACCTGAACTATATTTTATATTGATAGTGTATTTTTGGGTACTCTCTCTAACAAGCACCACATTTATGCCCCTTCTTTTTACTTAATAAACTAAAAAATCATATAACTTATCCTACTATCAGTGCACCTGTCTATTAGAAGCCTAATTTCCTTGAACAATCATATTTTTTGCCTTCTATGATCACTAATTGCAAAATGTCTCCCAACTCTTCAACTAATTAGAGAAACTCATCTATAGTCGTATACTCGTATGAATTTCTATAATTTGTAGTTAGCTTGTATATCAGCGGTGAACTAGGGTATTGGAGAAATGTTGCCTTAGTTTAGGTTTTAACCCATTTGACCTTATTTCTTCCCGTTGCTTGCTATCGTTGACTTATGTGTATTCTTCTCTTCATGTTTCCTCTTTTTAATTTTAGTCGGATCTTACGTTTCTGTCTATATGCAAAGCTTTTTACGCAGGGATTAATTCTCATTACAGATGTGCATATGTAGACTGTTTAACTATGTATTTATTTTTTATTTTTATACATGCATTGCATTTTATCTTTATTTTTAATTTTCTGACTGCCGGAGGTCTTCCACGAAAGCTACTCTCAACCTGGTGTTGGGGGCAGCCTACTACCCTACCTCCCCCTTACCCCATTACATATGGGAATAGGGTTTTGTTGTTGTTGTTGTATATCAGCGGTGCTGCACCAATTGCACTTGGTGGTAATGATCTAATTTATGCTTGTTTTCCTAACTGGACTCTGTATGGCCTATGTGATGGTAGTTGAGACTTCGTTGCCTTTCTCCAATTAGTACTTTGACTGTCCGGTTTCCCAGGATTGGGCTTCTTTCTTGTTTCTTGTTGTTGGACTGAATTGTTTAATTCTCTTGCACTAGTAGTTCATGAGTGTAGTATATTCATTGAATTGTTAACTGATAGTAGTTGGCATTTCAGCATCGAGTTGCTGTTTGCCTCTTTTCTTGGAAATTTTCTGCCCTTCATTGCCCATTCTGATGTATTTTCTATTTTATCAATCTAAACAATTTTGGTGTTACAGGTTCGATTTCTTACAAAGATATATCATCCGAACATTGATAAGGTTGGGCCCTCCTGTTCCTTCCTTTGTCCTTATTGTATGGTGTAAAGATGGTTTCTTGGCTCTCAAGGGTTGAGCTTTCTTGCAGCTTGGAAGAATATGCCTTGATATTCTCAAAGACAAATGGAGTCCAGCTCTACAGATCCGAACTGTACTTTTGAGGTACTACAATTTTTTGTGAAATGACAAGTATGGTATTATGAAGATTGGAAAATTAGACATTACAAGTAAAGCTACTAATAACGACACTATTTCTTTGATTCCAGCATTCAAGCACTCTTGAGTGCTCCGAATCCCGATGATCCACTCTCGGAGAACATTGCTAAGCACTGGAAAACAAATGAGGCTGAAGCCGTCGAGACAGGTAAGAATTCTGTCTGCAATCTTAAGATCATCGGGATTGGTCAACGCCACTACTACAATACAAATGAAGGGACGATATGCTGCCATTCTTACGATCGACTTTTCTTTGACAACTTGCAGCTAAGGAATGGGCTCGTTTATATGCGAGCGGCGCATAATATACGAATGGTGGAAACATTTGCCCTGTTAAAAATAACATTTTGTGCAATGTAAGCGATTCTGTATGGAAATTTAGATGATTTAAATGTTTGGGGAAGATTGGTATTTGCAAAGGCTTCCTAGTTGCTGTTTGTTAAATGTTTACATTTTTTAAATCTTATTTTGAGGATGGAAGCTCTCTGGATTTGGACATGTATGATCAAAAAATTCATTTTTGATCATCGAAAAAGTCACTAAACATGTGACAACACAAAAACTAAACATTGAAATTGCAAATTTTAGAAAGAGATTTTTTAAGGTGATATCTTTTAAATGATGTTATAAATAAGATGGTGACATAAATATAATTAGACGCATTTGATACATGTTGTATTCGTATTTAATTTATAGTACTGTCGTCTCTCGTCAGAGTTTAAAGGCATAAGCCTTAAATTTGTCTTCATTTCATGCTGGAAAACAAGTTGATGGCATCGGATGGGCAAAGTTTTGTCCACTTACAGTCCTTCAAACCAACCACAAATGCAATGAAGAAAACAAACCGATTCAACTGTTTTAATTCCGGTTTGCTTTCTTTTTCTTTTGCAAGCCCAGTGGCAAGATAAGCCCCAAAGCCGCGATCAGGGCAATGCACCATTGAAGACGGCCCCGATTGCTGCAAACAAGGCAAGATTTACGCATTATGAATCAAACGACCTCAATGATTAAATAGATGATTGATATTCATAAAGACGTCATGTTCGAGCACATCATCTGAAAAGGTGTCTGAGCATTCATTATTAAATGATTGAGTCTTTGGAACATATACCATCTCTTATAATCAACCCACTAATAAAAAAATGCATTGTTTACAACTTTTCAATGTAACAATTTTTCTTGAAAAATACTAATTACCTATTATATTCGATTTTTTTCATTAAATATTAGTTGTCTAATACATTGATTCTTCAGATGTATGTTTCACCCTCGCAATCCCTTACAATCTAAGGCAATGCGTTCAGGTTGTAACTTGAGTCTTCATTATGAAGCTATCGCCAAGACTGTATGATGCAAAATGAACTTATTTAAAATACCCGATTATAATTTTTGATTTTAGACCTTTAACTTCATTATTTCTATTTTTTTAGATCATAATTAGATTTGACATGCAATGAAAAATAGATAAATTTATAGATAGCAAAACACACATTATTAAACAATGAGATAAAAATTTCTATGTCGAAGAGGTATTTCAAGCTTACAAATTGTAGCAGAGTACATTCTACTATAGACAATTGGTACTAAGTGAGTTTTCCTTATGATATTTTATAATGGTAAAAAGAATGGTACAGTAAAAGTTTCTTGGTAACTTAGTCTGTAAAAAAAAGTTCATATGTTACAGACAAAACAATGGTGGAAGACAAAAATGGCTTGCGATGATTGATCGAGGAAGGAAGTTTAGATATGTTTGATGGCAGTAAGATCAACTTACCAGAGCAAATGACTCTCCCAAACGCTTTCTCGTGTTAATAAAATCCATGTCGAGGCAAATTTAACTAATCATCATCATCGTCTGATGGTAAAGTTGGACTTTTTGAGCAGATATCTTTCTGATGAAGTTCCAACATCTTGGTCTCTGGATTGCATAGCCCTGCATAACAAGAGTAATGTTAGAACACCATGTGTGGAGGTTTCAAAGCCATTGTTGCAACTTTAAGGCCCCAAAATTTCCAACAACATTGGATCAAGTCAATAGACAAAGTGCCAGTTGACACTGCCCAAGTTTCTGGAAAGAGCAGCTCTGAACTCTCTATCGGGTCTATATCACTGACAATCTTGTATCGTTCATGATGACTGATAGAGACGTACAAAGAAAATTGTGGGAAATAGAAACCATTTATATTTCAATAAGCAAATCATAACGGATAGTGTACACCGACCGACCCTCGGTATTATTTTTTTTTCCGGTAAAGTCCACACAAGAAATGATGGTTGGCAAGCTTTAGAATGCTTATTATTGGCGGCACAAGGTTGTAAGCTTTAAATGGAACCCAACCTGAACATTTGGGGATATCCCAGACCGCAACAGATGATGCCGTACACTGGCTCACATAATGCTCGACTATCCTCATGGTTGACATTCATTGCAAGCATCCATGCACCAATGGTAACATCCTCATTACTGAACATACGAAAACTGCAGTTTGTACAAAATGGAATAAAACATCGTAACAAATCAGAGATTAATGAGTTGTCAAAGGGAAAGAACATGTTGCAAGATATATACTGTATTAAGCTTTCCTAATATTAGAAGATACACAATTTTCATTTAGAACCAAGCCCCCATCCTCAATCAACACAATGGAGTTGAGGAACGATAAAAGATTGATCAGCATACATAATGTCTCAGTTCAAAACAAGACTAAGATTGAGTTCAAACATTTGGATCATATGTTAAGCTAAGCACATCAAGTTCAAAACAAGGTTGAAAATAGTAAATGTTATTGTAATCCAAGTATAGACAGGACGTGAGCAAGAAACAATAGGAATATAAGGAACCGTTTTAATATTATTATGGATTAGATATGAAATCATTAAGAGTACCTGTTATTTCTTAGAGCAACCAAACTTACAACAACATCTGATGAAAGTGCATATATAGGACCATAGGCATGAAGAAAGTACTCCTTGCCTAGAGAGGATAGTGGCTCATACCTGCATGTATTTAGTCAAACGTGATCAATATACACGGATATGAATATCAACATTAATATAAAGTCAACTTTATGGTTCCATATGCAATAACAATAATCTTGTAGAATATAATTCACAAAAGAAACCTATGATGAATTTCAAACTCTTCAAATCATAACCTCACTACCTTTAAACTACGTATACAAATATAAATTTGAAATTGTTAAGGTAAATGACAACATTATATGCTACACATTTATTCACAAATGAAAGAAACCTATGGTTTTGTATGATCCTTACAAATGACCAAGACAATTATAACCAATAAAAGTTGATGATTTCCTGACTTTTCCTTAAAGTTTGTAATGTTGGTAGATGTCATTAAACTAGTTCTTTACATCCCTTTTCCTCCTAAATCGAATTGCCAATATCAACGAAGATAGAAAACTATAGTTCTATCAATTTTCAGCAGAATGTAATCCCATCAACACACAGAAACACTCACCTAATACATGAACAGAAAAATCAGTTTAGAAAATTTTCTAAACCATAGGTCAATACTAACCATTTCAGCTTAGGATCGGTGAATACCGGACCCTTTTCATGCAACCAAGGTAAGTCTGAGAGTGAGAACGTTCTTTTGCTAGTAGAAGTGATAGCCGATCTGCAAATCAATAGTTCAACATTGTTAACTATCAACATTAAGTGCACAATAAAGGTAAAGAGAACCGTTCAACAACATGCATAAAAGAGTAAATAAATCAAATCACCTGGTCTCAAATAAATCATCATCAGCTTTGACGTAGAACTCAGAATCAAAGAGTGCATACGCAGCTTTAAAGAATGCTAACCTGAAGCATGCACTCTAAATTAAGGGATCTTCTTTCAATTGAATAACATGACCAATCCGTAACTCAAATATTTGAATAAAGGAACTAACGTTTTGTATGGGAGCTTACTGTACTCTTCCTCAATATCCAACAAAAGGAAATCATCATATTCTGCTACTTCTTTTTCAGCTCTGCCATCTTTGATTTATCATTTGTTTTACCAATTACAAACCTAAAAGCTAATCCAGTTGCCTCTTCCAACCTGAAAAGAAAAAGTAATATCAAATGTATTTAAATTTAAGGTTAATTCAAACATTATTGTTCATATTAAGGTAAAATTATACGTATTTCAACACGGAGCTTAATCGTTCTAAAATTCAAGCTGAGTGAATTGATTTTATGTGAAAATTAAATTACAGCTAAACTACTATATAACGGCAAATGTTACATACTGTTGAAGGCCTTGACGATCCGAAGGCATCCACGTCTTTCTCAAGGACCGTCTCGGCCTGTCGAGCCGAATCCGGTTTGGATCCAACAATCCATAATTTTATGCCGCTTCGTCCTTATCATCACCTCCGCCAGCAGCAACAGCACCAGTATTAGCATTAGCGGTTTTGTCCCAAAGAACACGGACGGATCTCGGGTCGGAGTTCCGGCAGCGGAAGCCGGATCCACCGGAGGAAGGAAAGAAGAGAGCGAAAGGAAAGAGACAATGGCGAAAGTGAGAAGGACGGAGAAGATGAGGCGAGCAGATCTGGTGGTGTGCGTGGGCTGCGGCGAAGTGCGCGAATGGAAGAACTTGGGAGACGATGGCATAACTGTGATGCTGGAGGGAGAGATTTGAGGAGGACTCAACAGAGAATTGAGGGGTTCAATTGAAGCGTATTACAAGACAAATAGACAACGGAGAGTGACCCCTGTCTTAACTATCAAATTTCCCTTCTTTGATTTCATCGGCCGTTATATATCGGTTTCAAGGTTAAGCAACGCAGATTTAATTTCTAAAATTTTAAAGATTATAATTATTTTATTTAATAAATTATTATTAAAATTTTATAATATTAAAAAATAACAACATTAACTAAAAACATGTCTATATTTTATAACTAAATTGAAATTAAATATATTTTATTTAATTTAATTCGTATCCAGCTAAATTTAAAATCTTTCTATGTAAAGAATACTTGTTTTACAATCAGGATAGGACGTGTCCTATAACCTTCCTCCACCATAAAGACAATTTAAAGTGCTTTAATTTGATCATTGATGCTTAACATACAAGAAAATGTTTTATTACCCATAAAGTCAATACATGATAAATGCCTAATTATCAAGATTACATGCTTTATTACCAATGGATAGTTGACATGAATGTATAATAAAGGGATGCTTTATGGGAATTAGTATAATGATTTATTTCAAGCGATTGGATGTTTGCATGTTTATACATACCACGGAGGATTTTTTACGTTTTAAAAATATGTGAAATTAACATAAAGATGTCTGCGGGTCAATCATTTTCTTTCGTTTGATTGATGTTGTGCTCTTATCAGATCATGTATTGTTAGAATGACTGAGAGTTCATAGGTATGGTTGTCTCAATTAATTGTGAGATATCACACTGATATTTGGTCTCCTACGTCAGTTGTTTCGATGATTGCACATCCAATTAATGGGATTGGAGCAGAGTTTGCAACGCCCTACGTCAGTAGTTTCGATGATGACGTGGTAAATTCAAAACCGTTCATCTTTACGATCTCATACATTGCCGCCATATTCGAGTACTACTGAAACCAAGCTCCCTCTGGCGATGACATGGGGCGGGTTCGGGACAGGTTTTGCTTCCCGCTCCCGTCCCGATTTCCGTCGGATTTTTTATTGGGGATTTTTTTATCCCATCCCCGAACCTGAACCCAACCCGAAATATTGTACCTGAACCCGACTTGATCTCGAGAAAACTATATTTTTCATAAAAAAATAAAAAATAAAAATATTATATAATTAATATAAAATATTATATATAATTAATAAAATATTATATATATATAATCGGGGCGGGGATACCTTATCCCGAACCCGAAAAAATCCCCGAATTTTACCCCGATACCTGACCTGACCCGATATTATTCAAACCCACCCGACCCAAACTTGACAGGGTTTCGGGTTTCCTCGTCGGGTTCGGGTCAAGCTGTCATCCCTAGCTCCCTCTAATATAACTTAAAAACCCGAACCCTCTAAAGAAATGGCATTATTACAATTACGCCACTTGACTCCCCACTCTTTCTTTTCACTCCCAACTTCACCATTTCCATTTCTCCACTCGCAAATCCCTTCGCTTTTCCTTCTGAGCCACTGCTTCAACCACGATGGCTAAACAAGTAAATCCCGTTACAAAGATTGTTTATTTATTTATTTATGTTTGATTCTATGTCTTCGATTTTGATTTTTGCTTGTTTAGGTTTTGGTGCCGATTGCCAACGGTACGGAGCCGATGGAAGCTGTGATTACGATCGATGTGTTAAGGAGATCGGGAGCTGACGTCACTGTTTCTTCAGTCGAGAAAAGCTTCGTGTTGACGCTTGCCACGCTGTTAAGATTGTTGCGGATGCTCTGATCGGTGATTGCAAGGACACCGTTTTTGATCTCTAGCGCTTCCTGTAAGTTAATTGTTCGTTTCTTTTTCATTTCTCCAAGCTATTATGTTAAGGAGAAATGCAAATATATGGAAATTTGAAGTGATATTTGGTTGAAAATTAGGACATCTTTTTGCTATTATGTTTTTTTAAAACCTTCTCGAATCAAATTTGTTACAAAGGTAATGAATTTATGGAGGTAAACTGTAACACCCCCAACCGTATCCGACCGGATACGAGTCCGAGTCACATTGGCTTTTTAAAACAATATTTTTACAAAATAACAAAACGTTGTACTTATATTAAGAAAATACATACTATACCATTGAATTATGTTCATTATAAAAAATTTGAGGAAATATACGTTTTATGAATAGTATTATACGATATGAACAATACCGTGAACAGTAATGAACAGTACCATAGTGAATTGTATGAAACACTTTTCAATTCTCACGAAACGTATTGAATTGTAGCTTAACTTGACTAGTTGAAGTTAGCAAACATGAATTGAATCAGCTTAACATTGTGAAAGAAATAATGAAAGAAAAGTAAAACTTTGATATATAGCAAAAGAAATATAAATTCTAATATGATTTCAAAGGTTGAACATAAAGAAAGTTCTACGTAAATAAAATAATTAATTCCTAATCAAACAAAAAAAATCATATTAAGAGTTCTAATAAAATAACTAATTTCTAAATAAAATAATAATTAAATAATTAAACTAAAAATCTTAAATCTAGAAGGTTTATCACAAAAGATAAAAATAAATATTTAAGTCTTGTACTTCTTGTTGAATTATGCGAATAACCTTATGCTAGGTAAATTCCAATTAAATATTCAAGATAATTCGCTCATCTTCTAGAAGATGTTGACTGAACCATTGAAATATGTTACATTTTGAGTTAATTAATCCAATAAAACTCCTTTCCAAAATAAACTCAAAATAAAGATAAATCAGTAATATCAATCGAAAAATAAGAAATAAATAATAATAAACATAAACAATATTACACTCATCATATTATATATATATAGATAGATAGAGAGAGAGAGAGGACGGTCTACTGCTCGTTTGATTTGTGTCCATGTGATTTTCATCATCATGTTATATATATGGGACAATATTCATAGACACAGATGCTAATGCTATAATAATTAAAATGTTTAATTAATCCAAATATAAAGAGTGAATTAATAATCACAGGCATACTCTAATGCTCATTACTTACCATCTTTACCAAACATGATCAATGCTGTTTAAAAACCTTTGTTTGATTTTCTTCAGCTCAATTATAACATCCTTCATATTTTTCTTTCTTCTGGTGAATCCGTTGAACAACCCAATGCTAACTCCATGATATATGCAATACAATTTGCTTTAACAACAAAGTACTCGTCCTTTCTTCTTAATATATCAGCATCTGCAATATCTATAATTCCTTTAGACAATGATCTTTTCACCCGATCCCTCGTAGTCATTTCATCGGTAAAAACTTCATCAGTTGGCTTTTTCCTTGTGAACATTTCTATTAGGACAATCCTATAGCTATAGACGTCGCTTTTTATAGAAATAATTCCTGTTGATCCGAATTATGCATTTCAAGCATACTCAAAGGATGAGGTCCTCAATTAGGGATGAGCATGGGTCGAGTTTTTGATTCACTCGATCCAACTTGAGAATAAGGGATCATCAACTCAAGACCCGACCCGACCTGATTAAAATAATATTTCAACTGACCCGATATATAACTTAGAAACTCAACCCGACCAGACTCAAAATAATAATAAAAATATTATTTTTATTTAATAAAAATAATAATTTAATTAAAAAATTATATATAGAGTGATATTATTATATTATTCATAAATATATAAGATAAAATTATATTTTTTCGGATCGAGTTGAATATTTTCACCCTAAATCTAAACCCAACCTTATTCGAACATAATACTTAAAAACCCGACACCTATCCAAAACTAAATTTTTTAAAAATCCAACCCATCGAGTCGGATTGAAACTCGTCGGGTTTGGTCCATCCCATCCCTAGACCCATTCCGATATACAAAATAATGCCTTTTCCATAATTATCGTTCCCCTTTTCCCTTCGCCCTCAATTTGAAACCCTTATCTGTTTCTTCGAGTTTTTTAGGGTTAGGATTTTAAGAATCCTCAAAGATGCAATTTGCGGATCCCAGTAAGAAACGCAAGTTGGATGAAAACGGTGTTAATTCACAGGTATCGGAGCCGGACCCGATCACAAAACTAACACCACAAGACGGCCGCAAGCTGATCGAGCGATTCACCGTCGATCAACTCCTCGACATCCTCCAAGACGCCGTTTGCTGTCATGTGGATGTTCTTTCCGCTGTACGATCTATTGCCGATCAAGATCCATCCCAACGGAAACTCTTCATCCGTGGTTTGGGTTGGGATACTACAACCGACGGCCTTCGTTCACTTTTTTCGGTCTATGGAGAAATCGAAGAAGCGGTCGTTATCCTCGACAAGGCTACTGGGAAATCGAAAGGGTATGGATTTGTTACCTTTAAGCACGTCGATGGTGCTTTGCTTGCTCTTAAAGAACCCAGTAAAAAAATCGACGGAAGAGTTACGGTGACGCAGCTGGCAGCTGCTGGGAATTCTAGTACGAATAGTAACCCTGTGGATGTTCATATGAGGAAGATTTATGTGGCCAATGTGCCATACGACATGCCAGCTGATAGGTTATTGGCTCTTTTTTCTCAGTATGGGGAAATTGAAGAGGGTCCTTTGGGCTTTGATAAGCAGACTGGGAAATCAAAGGGATTCGCTCTTTTTGTTTATAAGACGGCAGAAGGGGCTCAGTCGGCACTGGTGGAGCCTGTCAAGAACATTGATGGAAGACAGCTGAATTGTAAGCTTGCTATAGAAGGGAAAAAAGGGAAGCCAGGACAAGATGGGATGATGCAAAGTGGAGTTGGGGCTCCGGGAAATACAGAGATGGGGGTTGGAGGTCATGGTGGTGGTTATGGTGTTCCTGGTGGACCAGGTGTTATGGGTGGTTATGGCGGATTTCCTGGTGGGTTGCAAGGACCGCCTGGTTCAATGGGTCATCCTCATCACATGAATTCATCAGGTGTTGGGGTTGGGGCATTGAGTGCGAGTGGAGGTGGTGGTTATGGTTCCGGACTTGGTGGGCCGTATGGTGGTTATGGTGGACCTGGCTCAACTGGCTATGGTGGGTTGAGTGGTGCTGGTGCTGGTGCAGCTTCAGGATCTTCATTATATAGATTGCCACCAAGCTCTGTTGGGATGCCATCTGGAGGGTATCCAGAGAGTGCTCATTATAGCTTGTCTTCCAGTTCCGCAGCTGCTTTCCCCAGTCAGCATCACCAAGGAGTAGGGACATCCCCTGTGCCAAGAGTTCCACCTGGTGGAATGTATCCCAACGGACCACCTTTCTACTGAGGTAGTCCTCCTTGATTTGGCACGCTGTAAATTCTTCTATGCTACATGAGGTGTTATGGCTGTTGTACTTTTTGCTGATTTGTTTGAATGACTTGACTTCTTTTGTTTGTGCTTACCCGTATGCCTTATTTTGGGTATTTGTTCCTTGTGTGTGATTGCTTGAAACTTTTTGGTTCTTTTCCCGCTTTGCTCTGAGTTCTTTTACTTCTGTGCTATATTATATGGTTGCCTGTATGTTGTGGTTATGCTTTTGTTTAAGATGCTATATGTTGCTACGTTTTGTAGTGTTTTGAAATGTTTGCAGATTGGCTTTATTCTATCTTCTACTATTTTAAAATTGTATGCCCATATATTGAAACATATGTATGACTTATCAACTTGTGGCTCATGGTTTATATCTATAATATTAGTAGAGCTCCTGTTGTTTTCTGTCATGAATCAAGTGACTGACAGCCCTTGTTTGTGAAATTGTTTTAAAAAATGTTAAATCTTAGTAAATATAAGAAATAATTTATATACCTTTTGACTTTAGGTGTTGAAAGATATGCTATGCAGATTGTGGGTTTTACATTTTTAACCTGCAGTGAACGTATTATTATTTTCCTGACAAGAAGAATCATTCTTCTAAATTTTGTGAGATTTAAACGTTTCTAACAGTGAGCATGCGTACAACTCTATTGGGTACACATTCTTAACCAAGATGGATGCAAATCTTCTGTAGACATTTTTAACTTTCTTAGTTGATTTTATTTAATGATGACTATTTTATAACTTGTAATGAAGTAATATGAGATGTCCATTTGTAGTCATTTTTCCAAATATAATAGCAATTTTTGTGTTTTGTTTTCTGTCTCCTTTCATGTTTATAAAGTTTTGCAAATCTCTCTCTTGGTAGTATTATTTGATAATCTAGTTTTGTGTACTCCATGAATGCACACGTCATTTGATTTACAGCAAGGCAAGAAGAGGAGTCCATTTCAATATAAAATGTTGCCTCCTATTTAGCCGATATTTCCTGTTCAATTTACCATAAACTTGCCAGTTTGCACAGTGTATTATAACTTTGGCATTCATCTTTCATGTGAATTTGCTTCACATGTAATGTATGTTCATTTCTGTTGATTACTTGATTTCCATTTTAACTACTCTGAGTGAATAGTATCATTGTTGATTAAAAATGGAATCTAGCTTTCATTATTTGGTGTTTCAAAAATTCGTCACTGGATTTTTTTTTTGATAGAAATTCGTCACTGGATTTGTATGACCTTTTTCTTCATTTGTATAGCATGCTAGTTTGTGCTCTATATATTTGATTGGATATGATTGTTGCAATTGCTTTGCTTCTGTCTAATCTTTTGTTTGTATTAAAAGTGATGAAAGTTTGAGCTGACCCCTTCAAGTAAGTACACCCCCACCCAAAAAACACACCTAATTTTGCTTTAATACACTGCTTATCAATTAGTTTTGACTTTTTTTGGTTGGTGATGTAGAATGATGAATTGAGTTGTCAATGGGTGTTTGATTCAGGTTTATGACAGCTTGTTGGGCGCAGATGCTTTATGTGGTTCTGGTGATTGCGTGAATGCAGACTATATATACTCTGGCTTGAATGTATTTGCTGGGCTCTTACAGCCACTTCTCTTGATCTGCACCTCTAAGATGTTTATTTCTGAATGCTTGTTGGCAAAAACTTGTGATGTAGACTAGTTTTTCCATGTTTTATTAGGAACTTATGTTCCAAAGGCCTTTTTAATCATTAGTATAGTTTTTTAATAAAAAAATAGTGAGTTGATGTTTTTTTCTCTCTCTATTTTTGCTAGATAGCATCTCCTGTCCTTGGAATTTTGTTTCTTTGTTGGTTGATGTTGCTATAATGTTGATTATTCTGTCATGTATACAGCTTAATAAGTTAAATGTAGTTCTTTATTTTTCTATATTAATTAACGGGGTGTAGGAAACCTGCACCAGAAAGCTGTTACTATGTTTGTTGTTAAATGGATTATATTTACCACTTAGCTAAACAAAGCCATTTTCTAATGTAATTTATTGCGTTCTTATTACAACTTACAACTTCAATGCACGCAGTATGTTTTTTTTGTGCCCAAGTTTGTCTTCAGGATTTTTATATCTACATTTTATTATTTATTTGAAAGAGTTTTGGTTGCCTTCTGATAATAGTTGCCAAGCCAATGTTCCTTTTATAGAGGCAAGTATTTTGGTTTCCTGAATTCCTGAATTTGTAGTTTGCCCACATCCCATTGACTTTTCGAGTCGGTTCTTGTTTAGAGAAGAATCAAATGATGTGAGAGCAGCAAGTGATTAAGTGTATGTGGTGTTGCTATTTGTTGATATGATGCTGCTTGTATAATCTGCGTGAGCTTCATTGAGTTCTGTTGGATTTGTAAATGAGCACTTGTGTGCCGAGGTATAAAATGAGTCTCTCTCCTATGTGCTGCAACTGTATTGGGTGGTCATCTTTGTTGGTTGACTTAATTTTTTCGTGCACAGTGGAGTTATGGAATGTGTGATCTGTACGCATTGGAGCTAGTTACATATAGGTTTTGCAGGAGACTATTTGAAAGGCTTTCTTTAGTTTTTCTGTCTTTCCTGTCTTTCCGGAATCCTGGTGGTGGGTGTTCCATCGGTTAATAAATAGATCATATGCATCATGAAAAATTTTAGTCTACTTGCTGAAACCAAGGTTGATGATATCCTGCTGGAATGGAGTTATTTATCCCATGAACGAAATGATGCCTCTCCTCAAAATTATACCTTTCTTAGGGCTGTGTTCGGTTAGTGGAGTGAGACTACAAATACTTTTCCCTAGTCTTTCCATCCGAAGAAGCACTAGACTCTTATGCAGGAGAAGACCTAAAGGAACTATTCCTGCTCAGTCAAATTCAAGGCATTCTTTCATTGCCTATATATCAAGCTTCAAATGGCCACTTTTCACTTTATTATATGCCTGATGTTCTTGGATGCATAACATGCGAATTCCTGTCCAGATGAATTTTCGAAAGAATTTCCCCGTGTGTTATGCCTGCCTGCCTGTAGCTGGTTTTGATATCTGCACCTATTTATTTCTCTTGGCTTGTTTCTCTGAAAAGAGTCGTGAATGATGTGTATCGTTTGGAGGGGTTAGAAATCTTTTATCGTAAGTTTGTTTTGTGCTTGCCAAATTTGCAAACTGAATTGTCTGAAGTGTATGATTTTTCATTACCGTGATTCTTTGTTGACCTTAAATGTCTTTTCTCTGATGCCTTTTGTAATTTGGATTATTTTGCATGCCGTCATAAACTTGATGAAAAATGAGGCAAATTCGTCAAAAGATTTTAAGAATACATATATATATTCTTTTGAAGAACCAGGAGTATATATTCTTTTTCACTTTCTTTTACTATTGGCAACAAAAGTTGTATATGAAACATATTTTTGTGTTGGGTGGAGAATTGATGCTCTGTTTTTTATGCTAACTGGCATTGGTATCTTCTTTTGCCGCTCACCATTTTTATCCTTTTCTGAGCCATTTCCTGTGGAACACTGAGCATAAAACCAACCTCGAAGATAAAACATGGAAGCCCGGATGAGCCGGCACCTCATACGATAGACAAAGAACACCAACCTCCGTCAGTCCCGGGGAGGCTGACTGCCTATATGTCCCAATCAAAGATCAAATGATATTGCAACATCAACATTGAGCTTGCTGGAGACAAAAGTGGCTGAAGTAGTGGCTCGTTTGTCATGTAATGAAGATCATCCATTTTTGTACCATCACCCAAGAAGCTTGTGATGAAATTTCCTTTGACACCGAACTCTTTGTATTTAGGTTAAAAGTGGAGTTGTTTCTTCAGTCTTAATCTCAACATTGTTTTCTCTTTTGGTCGGAAATGTTAAGTGCTATATTTGACAAATTCCCAATGAATCAAACAAATGGTCTCATGTTTACATTTATTCTCAATTTTGTGATCATTGATGATCCTGTGCAAAATGGAGGGGGGCTTCACATAACTCGCATCGAAAATTAAGAGAATAGTTGGTTTAATTAATGTCAGCAATTTTGAACCCAGACTACACTAATTTTTCTTCGTTTTATAATATTAACTTTTTGGGTGAAAGGTTGGGTTAAGAAGTGGTAATCGAATTTCTATATTCGCAATTAATTATTTTATTATGCACATTATTAGTGAAACTTTTTAATTTTATAAATAAATCTACGAGTCATCTCATGTTTTTAATTGATATTTAGAAAATACAAATAAACAAATGAGATGAGATGGATTTTTACCACTGATTCCGGAGTTAAAAATCTCTTATGATAGTGTGTCAACCAGTAATTTATATTATAATGACTTTGAAATTATTATATTTATTGTTAAAATAAAATTGTAGTAAAAATAAGTAGTCGTCATTGTTTTAGGTGTGATTTGAATTATCTAAAAGAGTGCGAAAGATGATACGGGTGACGGCAACGGCGCGAGTTTCAAAGGTATGAAAATAAATTAAAATTTATAAAATTTTTAAATTAATATTTGATCTAATTATAATTAAAATAAGATTATAAAAACTAATGTTTTATAAATATTATATTTTAATTAAATTACATTTAGATTTTTAACTAATTTATAATTATACGTTTAATACTTTATAATTTAACGTTTTATAAATTAATTTAATGATGTTCATCGTTAATGATGCTCATCCTCACCTAAACCCTAAACTCTAAACCCTTTTGTAAATATTCCTCTTAAAACATATTAGTAAATAACTGGAATAAAATTATTCTCAATAATTAAATTTAAAATTTTAAAAGATGAACTCAGATTTTGTTTTATTTTTGTGTGTCAGACAATGGAGCTATTTATATAAAAAAATAATTCTAATTTGTTGAGATATTGTTATATTATATATTATTAAAGAATCATAACTTTATAAAAGAGTTTGAAAATAATTGAATTTCTTGATTTATATCATGATTAATTTAATAATAATAATAATAATAATAATAATAATACTTGATGAATTTTGATCGGTACAAAATACTTCTTCTAAGTATTCTTAATTATGATAAACATTTGCATTACGCGCTCTTAAGGTCGAAGTATATATGAACTCATATCAAGTGAACTCATAACAAACTCATGACATCATTCGATTCAAGAGTTAAATTTATTTTAATTTATTAAAATTATGATTAAATTGATAGAATATATAAATAAGAGTGACCAAATGTATAATTATATCAACTTTATTAACAATCATGTCAGTACTTATGTTAAATGTGAACGAGATTTGACTTGGTTGAATGTATTTAAATAGTTAGATGATCTGGTTGATAAAATTTCAAAAATAATGATCAAAATGAAAAGGGAAAAGAGTTAGGTAGTCAATGGCATATTTTAACCTAAATTTATTATATGAAAAAACTGATGCAAGTTCTCTCAAAATAAATAACTATAAATGGAGATTAATTAGCGAAAAAAGAAAAAAAAAGTGATTTTTTCCCAAATCGGTAATTTTATTTGTTCATAATAACACATTATTAAGTTTCATGTAATATATAAGAAAAGTGTTTTTCTTTATTTGATGATAACAGGGTGTGGTTTACCCATTTAATTATTACTAAACCCCCCCACCCCCGGGGCGTCCTCACAAAACCCATTCACTTCTCTCTCTCACACACTCTCAATAAAGCTCTGTTGATAAATAATCCAACGGTATCCGCCGTCCACCACCCGCCCCGGCCACCGGTAACCCATCCTATATCTTCTTTCTCCTTATTTTCTTTCTGGGTTTTTCTTGTATTCCTCAGTTTTTGTAATTTTTGTAAATTCATCTAGAATTGTTTTCTTTTTAATGAGTTTGGGCTCTATCCTATATACGGATCTATGTCCCTTGGTATATATTGATGTAAATCGAATTTTATTTATAAAAACATCTGAAAATTCTATAAAATACAATTTTCTAGATGGTTTCCGTGTTCTATGCTGTGCATGATGCATGCATATATGTATGTATGATGGTGGAGAAGTGATATACTTCTTTTATAGAACGTTTCAAAGCAGTAATGGAAAATTAAAGTTTTCTTATCTTTTTATTATTTTCAGAGGACGATACTTTTGGGTAGCTAAATTTTTTAAAACAGTTTTTGGGATGTAATTGCTACCAATGAAAACTGGAGGCAGAACACAAACCTATTCTTCGTTTCCTTGAAATTTGGTTGTTTCAGATGGTTATCCATGGAGGATATAGTGAGTTTTGAGTACTGTGAGCTGTTGATTTATGGATTAAATGAACTAAAATTCTTTTTTCATCATTCTGATTTATGTTACCTATTATGAGTTAGCCGTAGTTTGACTGCTATTATAGTGATTGGGAAGACTTAAATGTATTTGACAATGTATTATTGTATTTACACTTTTTCATCGACGTCTAGTCTATTGCTGCTTACCTCCTATTAAGTTTTTCTGACTCAGACGTAGATGGTATCACTTATCTGGATATTTTTCTTTTATTCAAGTTTTCCTTTCTGTTCTGGAACTTTCTCAGGCTAAATTAAAAACTCTGGGGCAAGAATAAGGACGTATACCTGTTATTTGAACGGAGGTATGTGTCATTGGTTTTGACAAAACGACACTCGGATGGATTTTAAATTCAAAGGTATTGGCTGGGTGGGGGACATTTACCAGAAGTTCGAAATATTGTGTCATGAGATGGATAATATTGTGAATCAGGTATTAATTCTTTGATCCCATCTTGATCAGCCATGCTCTGTTATCAACTGGCTGAACGAAGTTTTTGACGATTAATAATCATTGATGCACCCGAGAATACAGTTGCTTTGGCATTGAAGTTCTTTCATGATCTTGTAAATGGCTTTTTCTGCAGGACACTGTCAAATATGCTGAAAACCAGGCACAAAGTGTGGGTAAAAGCATGAAGAGATTTTATTCTGATGTTGTACTTCCTTTAAAACATGAAGATCAAGGAGTGGCTTTAAAAAGAAGCGCTACAATCGATACCTTTGTTGAATTGAAGGCTGCTATTCAGGAAGATCACATAAACACTGTTTGTAACCTATCACATGTTCAGCCCCTTGCAGTTGCTACAATTGAAAAACAGCTTGATCATGCTTCTAATGAGCTTTTCCCTTCGGTTCAATTAAGCATTCCGACTTCTGTTGATGCCCTAGATGGGGCAGAGTCGGGCATAATTTCCCAACAACTTAGTGATATTATGAAAACTAAAAGCTCTGTTGTAAACATAGAAGAAAATTCCATCTGGGAAAAAAAATCTGGGTTTGATGTACCAGGGCTGATTTCTCCCAGAGAGGAAGAATCATTTGGAGACTCATTGACGAATAATAGGTTCATTGATTGTACCGAGAAAATTTCACCTGGGGCTGCGGGTGAGGTTTCTCGTGCAATATTAGTTCATGATATGGAGTCTCAATCCCCTAAAAAGGAGACAGGAATTAGTTATAATATTACAGTTGATGTGGTCAACAGGCAGCTTGAGTGTGCTTTTGCTGAGCTTTGTCGTGTAGACCAACCAGGTAACCCTAATACTGTGGATTCCCATTTGGGGAAACAATCCATAACTTCAGAAGAAGCTGCTGAGGTTTTGAATGATACAAAACTTGAAGTAAACCCAGAGGAATACCCCACAATGGAGAATCCTTCAGTTTCCAAGGTATTGGGGCTAGTGACTCCTTTTGAGAAGGAACCCCGTGGAGCTTCATTTTTGAGCAAGTTCAATGATAGTAATGATAAAGAAATGTCTTCTGAAGCTGAGGTTTCTCCTGCAACTTCAGTTCAGGATGTGAGAAAACCATCTGCATCTGATGTTTCGGAGTTGATCTTTCATGGCGAGGAAGAAATTGTTAATTGTGATAATATAAATCCATCCATGATTCACTATGATTTTCCTTCTGCAACTTCAGCTCATGGTAACCAAAATGCAAGAAAAATAAAGGATGAGTGTGTCTCAGATGCTTTAGATGATGTTACTTCTTCCAAAATGGTTTCTTCAGTCATTGGTCGTGAGGAAGATGTGGCAGAGGTTGGGGTAGATTCTTCTAGCGGTTCATTATTTCAGGAATTTCATTTGGCTGAGAACTCACTTGAAAATTCACCCGCAAAAGCACTCATTCATCATGACCCTGTTAATGTAGCTGAGTTAGTTTCTCATAATGTACATTCGTCTTCTATGTTGACTTCACTTCTATCTGATGAGAAGGAGTCGATGGTGGCAGCATCCATTTCATCTAGCAATGACTTGTCCATGGCATCAGTTGGTTAGCATCTTGTTCCTATGTAGTGATATTTTGTTTCTTATGGAATTGATTTTCATCTTAGTTGTAATATCACAGGAAATGGTGCGTACAGAACTGTTAATAGCTCCAAGTCTCTGACTGGAATATCAGGAAACAAAAATCTTCACTTTGGTGGTGAATCTGCTCAACTTCAGGTTTCATCCTCTTCTAATATAGGTAAGCAAGCAGAATGTATAGTTTGATTGTTTTCTTCTCTGCCATCTTTCCAACTGTATTTTTCCGTGCTCACCTTTGTTAACATCAAATTTCAATAGCATACTTGTAATTAGGATATCAACAATGAGGATAACAATGATGGAAACTGTACAGTTTCGACCCTGTTTGATATAATTGTAATAATGACAATTATTTTGTATTGAAAATGTTAGACCTTCAGAAACCTGGCTTGCTTTAGATGTGTGTAGTCACTGATTTTTCTGCTAATTAGGATACAAGCCACTCTATGTCTGAAATGAAATAATATTACTTTCAAAAGGATGTTTATTTAAAAAAATATGCTGGTAATATATTAAATGGTTAGGTCATTAAGCGATTTGATCAAAATGACTTTCAAACTGATCAGTGTTTTCATATCGGTACATGTCTGCGTGTATATCTATAGTATGAAGGTACTAGTCTTTGCAAATTATGAACGAATTTCTTTATGTTACGCATTTTTGGTTACCTGGTTTGCACCTTTCCATAAGAAGTTTTGTTTTACAATATATCTCATTGCACCAAAAGAAATGTTTATTGGAGAAACTTAACCATCTTTATCTAATTTCATGAAAACCATAAAATATGCAGGACATGTAGATGATTCCATTGATGATATCAATATTTCTTCCATGGAGATCATTGATTTGTATGACGAGGTGAAGCTTGAGGATAGCTGTGTCATTCCTGATAGCAGTGCACTTTATGCCGTCTCTCGTAGAATAAATAAACACAAATCATACAGGGTCCGTCTCTCTCCCTCTCTCTCACTCACACATGCATAAAGTCACGGGCATTGGAGATCTTACTTTTCAACATGAGAAAATGTGATAGTGTTCTCCAGTGGAATGTTCCATTAAGTCGGTAAATTCTTGAGAAAATTATATGTTCGTGATGCAAATAGAGTTGATATTATTAGCATCTCCCTGCACAAATCATTTAGTTACAATTTAATTGTCAGTTTTACTTTATTTATATAGAGACATGCATTAGCTATATAGATGATAATGAACTTTAGGCTACTTTTTGCATGATGCTTAGATAAATCAGGGTCTTTCATATGCCTTACCTGATAGTATCTTCTTTTACTTTCTATATAATCTTTCGCTAATTTGCTGCATTCTCATTTTACTTTCAAAAGAAAAGAATCCAGGATGCTTTAAATTCAAGAAAGAGGCTGGCGAAGGAGTACGAGCAGCTAGCAAATTGGTTTGGAGATGCAGACATGGGGTCAGTCCACAATCATTTCCAAACTCTACAGCCATCATCCTCCACCACAACCTCAGAGCCCAAAAATACGCAAACAGAACTTGTGTGTGATTCTGACTGGGAAATCCTTTAAGCACATAAAGAATTTTATGTTGACTAGCTTCAACCGGATTCATTCTCAAGCTTTTTCCTCGTGCCATAAGAATGAGATACACTGTGAATACTCGTGTTCAAAGTTCCATCTTCAATGTATTTACAATAAAAATGCAGATAATCAATCTGTCTTGTAAATCAAATTGTCTACCATAAATGGCACAGCGTTTCAAATTTCAAGTGTATAACTGGTTTTCTATATTTTCCTTATACATATTTTATTGGACATGAGCCATTTCTTCTTCATAATCAAGCATGATTAGGTGAAATACATTTTTGCATCATCATTTCTCCATTTTCTTTCACATGCAATACTCTTGAGTTTACAAAAAAAAAAAAAATTGATTACCTTGCAACAAACGTGCATACAAAATCTCATTCCATGTATCAGGCACTCCTGGTAAGCATCAATGGATGCAATGGGCAAAATTCATTGGTCGGCCCTTTTCTCCTTTGTCAAGAGCGTGCCTCTCCGCGGAGAACACCGTTGTATGAGCATCTTTCCTATATTCTGATAAATGGGTAACGTTAAAAAATGTGACATTGATTTTAAGATCTTGTAAAACTTCATGCATTATCTCCATGATATCTAGGTTAGACCCTGTGCCCCAATATGAACCTTGAACGGGGTAAGACTCATTGAAGCAGTTCCCATGGCTGCCTTGCTGCCATTCCCAACTCCTACAAAAGTAAATTTCACAGGAAACTATAGGCATTTTTCCATAGTGAATCGAAGATTAATGCATCAGAGACTTGGGTTTTGCCAGTCAAATAACAAGTAAGAACTCACCACAAGTGTTGGGGACATACTCATGAAGAAGACTTTTTGCAGATGAGGATCTATGGCGGATTCTAACCATTTTGCCCAAGTTTCCAATGTTATTCTATAAGCAGTTGTGGCATTATATTCTTGAACATCCTCCATGGATCCGTAGCTGAAAGCAATATTCATGATTCCGATTTCTGAATTTTATTATTACAGTATTGTTTAAGATAACATGGTTGAAGTGAAACTCATAGATATTCATATATAAATCCTACAAGGTACCGAGTACTTACGTTGCATTGATCTGCGGCTTGTACATCCACTATACGTAGCTCTCAAACACCAACACGTCCACTCCTTCCAGCTGTTGCCATGTTTAGATATAGAGTACAGGTTCACCAGGCGTTTCGGTACTGTATTATTTGTTTCATGATCCGAGATAGACTTCACTATTATTGGAGCGCATTTAAGGATTTAAATTACATTTACGGTTATGTTTTCGGTTGCATTGTGTTTATTACGATTGCGAACATAACATATGTGATTATTGCGAGTATCACACTTGTGCAATAACTGTTTCGGATAACCCAATTACTACTATATAATAGTCACTATTCCATAACGAATCACTATTTAAATACCTGACTGCGTTATACTCCTAAATTCAAATAAACAACATTGAAATCAAATAATCTAAACTAAGTTTATTATGATCAATAGAATTGCAAGTTGAGTACCTTAGCTTTGAAGATCTTCCTAGGAGGAACTCTTTCTAAAGATTTCTTCCCTTTGAGAATCACGGATTGTAGGAGACAAGAAAAAATAAATTTTTTATTTTAAAGATTTAATTTTTTTTATTAATCAATGGTGATTATAAGTGGTAGTACTTGTTTTAAAGACTCTTAATCATTTGACAATGAACGTTTTAATACTCTGTAGTCACTGATGCTCGAACTCGGAACTTCTAAATTAAATATAATATTTTTTAGATTGACATTAAAAAATTATTCAATATTTAAATTTAAAATTTATTAGTAATTTTAACATTTTTATTAATAATAATATTAAAAATATATGATAAAGTATATAAATAGTTCCTCGGGTCTAGGTTGTTATTTTATTGAGTACTTTAACTATTAAAAATTATAAAATAGTCCTTTAATTATAGAATATTACTTTGTTGAGTCTCTTAACTATTAAAAGTTATAAAATGATCACCTAACTATTCATATGTTTCAAATTCGTCTTCTTTGTTAAAAATCGACAATCGTATAAGCTAGGATATGATAAAATCTGATCTCATAAATGTTTGAATTGTATAATCATTTGAGATTCTAGGATTATATTTTATCATATCTTATTCAATATGTTTACATCTAACATGGAAGACTGTCAAATTTTTAATGAAAAAAACGTGTTTGAAACATATGAATAGTTATGTGACTATTCTATAACTTTTAATAATTAGGGAACTCAACAAAATATCACCCTACAATTAAAGGATTATTTTATAAATTTTAATAGTCGAAATACTTAAAAAAATAATGTTTATAGTCGGGGGCAATTTTCTGTACTTTACCCAAAAAGTATTTAATATTAAATATATATATTTAAGCCTACATAAACCTCAGATATGACCTACTCCTAGAAGCTATCAAACCAATACCAAAAGCCATCTTTTTATTTTTTTTCTCCCCACTCTGCAGCTTCAACCTTCTGCAAAAATGTTTCGATCCGTAGCTCGATCGGCTGCCGGAAAGCACCTCCTCCGACGAGGATATTCCACTGAATCCGTACCTGATCGGAAAGTTGCGGTCTTAGGCGCGGCTGGAGGGATCGGGCAGCCCTTGGCTCTTCTGATGAAGCTTAACCCTCTTGTTTCTCGACTTGCTCTCTATGATATCGCTAACACTCCTGGTGTTGCCGCTGATGTCAGCCATATCAACACTAGATCTGAGGTCCAAATTAAAAAAAAGTCTTTGTTTTATTTTTAAAATGTATGGTTTTTAGATTTAGTTTTCCTACTGTTTAGTTTACAACGTTATTTCAAGCTGTTTCTGGTTTGATTTATGTCTTGATTTTGGTGTTTTTACATTGGATTTTTCACTTCATTTTTTATTATATTTATCTGATTGTTGTTGATTTTAGCTTTTCCCCTTCTTTCTTTATTGTATTTATCCGACTATTATTGATTTGGTTTACTTTTAATTTGTTTAAATAATAGTTTACTGCTTGTAAAATGTTATATTTTTTTATGAATGTGTTTATAGTGAAATTATGAATTGATATCATACTTTGTAGATGGATTTCAGCGTAATGATTTAGTTCTTTTATTCATTTAAATTTGGCTTTGCTATTTGTTTTCATGTGTTAAAGTGTATATGTGAATGTATTAATGTTTCTAATATAATTTGATTGGTTTCTATTTTGAAATCAACTTTTTTTTCTTATTACCTAAATAATATGTTTTTCTCTCTCTGATCCGACCTAGTTGCTTGATTATTTCCATAAAAAGGATTGAAGAGTCGAGATTTGTTGCATGTTGATGTCCATGTCCATCATTACTTTTATTTTTCATATCATCTGAGAATTTATATGTTTCTACTAAATTTGTATTAGCTTTGATAAGGCTTAGTTTCATTTCATTTGTCTATACATGTTCAAATGTTTTATATCTGTATGGCTTACCTGATTATTGTTTGAACTTTTAAGCATGTCTTTTATAATGAATCAGATTACCCATTTGTCTATGGTTCGTGCTCATGCTCCCATTTTTTAATTGTTTTAATCGAACTACACTGTTTTTCTACCTAGTTATTCTTTTGTCAGGGTTGTGATCTTCATTCTATTGAGAAATATATTGATTTGATATTTGATAATCTTGTGTGCCTTAATTTTGTTATCTTTATTCCTTAGCAATTTGCCCTTTTTTACCTTCAGGTTGCCGGATATGTTGGGGAAGAGCAATTGGGTCAAGCTTTGGAGGGATGTGATGTTGTCATAATTCCTGCTGGGGTGCCAAGAAAGCCTGGTATGACTCGTGATGATCTTTTCAACATTAATGCCGGAATTGTCAAGGGTCTATGCTCTGCAATTGCCAAGTATTGTCCCAATGTGAGTGTCTATCCTTTTTGTTTTAATTTGAAGGAAAAAAATACATTTTTCAGGGATCCTTGATGCTTCTAAAAATTTAATTAGTTTGGTTCTCTGTCTTGTATACGAGTGTTAATGTCTATCGTGCCAAGGTGTGGGGTAACCATACAAATGATCAGAGAACCCAGTGTTTAAAAAGGCACAACTGAGGCGCTAAGGCGAGGTTGAAACACCTAATTAGGTCTAGGCGAGGCGATTTCAATGAGGGCTCTGAGGCGCAGAAAGGCGCCGCCTCTTCAATTTCTTTTGTTCTTTTTGTCTTTTTTTTTTTAAAAAAATTAGTATGTTTTACATACCAACTGGTATATCAACAACAAAAAAGAGAGAAAAAAATGAAATGTTAGTGGAGAAAAAATGAAATGTTTTACCTTATATAATTACTGTTTGTCTTGATGTTTGAAAGGGAGAGAAACGAAGGGGGACGACTAGAGATAGTTTTCGGTGAGTTTAGTTGCTCATCCATCGTTTGCCTCTTCCACTGCTTGCCTCTATTGAAAATTCCAGGAGCTGACTAGAGAAGAAATGTAGAAGCTCAAAGATTCCAAAGGCTAACGAAGTGGAAGATAATGGTATATAAAATGACTTTTGAGATGATACAATGAATATCATCTACAGATGTTACCAAGGGAATTAATGGTAGTCTCATTTTATATTAAATGAAGTTTGAGATGATACAATGAATCTCATCTATAGCTGTTACCAAGGCAATTAATGGTAGAGTTAGCAGCACATTCTCCAAGTCAAACATGCATGAATCCAGCTGGTTGTGGAAGAGTTAAATGGACGGTGGCTGCAATCACAATTAAGTTTAGAAAAACTAGCATATAAAGTAGAGAAATGCAGGCCATTATATGATTTTTGGCCTGCTAACTTCTCAACAGGCTCTTCCACCAAAAACATATCACATATGTAGTATGATCTTGAGGAAGGGACAAGCAATGGTGAAAGAACAGGAGCTTAAGTTTTTTAGGAGTAACCAGTGAGTAATTGATATGAATATACTCTCTAGAACTAATTTATAAACTTTTTAGCATAAGGTAGGTTTCAGTGAGTTTTGTTCTTTTATTTTCACAAAGTGCGCCTTACTTCAATAAGGCGCTCGCCTTGCGCCTTGGCTATAAAACCCCTATTGCCTTAGTGCGCCTCTCGCCCTTTTTAATACTTGAGAGAACCTAACCTGCAATTTGTCATCTGATTTAGTAACATGTTCTGTTTGATCAACTAATTATGATTCTTTCCCCCTGATGCTTAAAACGTTACAGACAGTTTTGATAACCGAAAGCTATTGCTTAGTTCCGAAGAGTTTTTCCTATGTTGTGAGCTTCTATAAGGCTAGAATATTTTTTTTGCCTCCCAACATTATTGAACCAAATTTGTGGCTCAGGCACTTGTTAATATGATCAGCAACCCTGTCAATTCAACTGTTCCAATTGCAGCAGAGGTTTTCAAGAAGGCAGGAACATATGATGAGAGAAAGTTGTTTGGCGTAACCACCCTTGATGTGGTTCGAGCTAAGACTTTCTATGCTGGGAAGGCAAAAGTAAATGTTGCAGGTTTGTTTACTGCTACCTTACCTCACTTCCCCTTCTCTGCTTATAACCTTTTTTGGGGCCTAGAAATGATTTTTTAGATGTCTTTTCCTTTCATGCAAGGTATTATCATAGCATAAGAACATTTTCATTATATGATGAACCTTCTGATTGACTCAGTTTATTCACTTTCTTGCAGATGTTAATGTCCCCGTTGTTGGTGGTCATGCTGGAATAACCATTCTCCCTCTATTTTCTCAGGTACATTCTCCCTCTATGTTAATGCATGCAATGAATGATGATGTTGTGCCTGCTCATTTCAGTTTTCTGTTGATCTTTGCTAATTTTGTTTGCATCTTGAATTCATTTAGGCTACACCAAAAGCCAATTTGCCTGAAGATGATATAAAGGCTCTCACAAAGCGAACACAAGACGGAGGCACTGAAGTTGTGGAAGCAAAGGCCGGAAAGGGTTCGGCAACATTATCAATGGCGTAAGAATTAGCTATCACTTATTCACGTGAAGTTTTCACTTTCCTTGCATTTATTTTGTATGGTCTTAAATTGGAGCCATATCATTTTCTTTTCATTTTAGCCTGATAAAGTTGCGTTGTTTCTTTGGGAAGCTATGCTGGAGCCATTTTTGCTGATGCTTGCCTTAAGGGACTGAATGGCGTTCCTGATGTGGTGGAGTGTTCTTTTGTTCAGTCAGCTGTCACTGAACTCCCCTACTTTGCTTCGAAGGTGATTATCCCTGTTATATATTGTTGATTTGTCCAAAAGTGCTCAACATTTTTTTTAATTTTTTTTACTGTTCCGTATTTGCTTTTGAAATTTGCATTGATATGCAAGGGGAGCTGCATCGAATCTATGATTATTCTGTAACCTGCTCCCACCTGTGTAGAATTGATAACATATCACACTTATACCATCCTATTTCCCCGTTTTGTTTAAATTTAAGTCTTGATTGCTTTGGATTAAACTTGAAATTAGGGATTTCTTTCTCGTTCTGATCGCTTGAGCACAATCGCTGGCTTGTAGGTAAGGCTCGGAAAGAATGGTGTGGAGGAAGTTTTGGGGTTAGGCCCGCTCTCAGACTACGAGAAAGAAGGCTTGGAGAGCCTCAAACCAGAACTGAAAGCATCTATTGAGAAGGGCATCAAGTTTGCCAACCAGAGTTGATTCTTAACTATTTATGATTTCTTCCGTTAGACCGACCAATCGTAAATTCTTAAGTTTTTGCGCAACTGTTGTATTTCATGCTGCAAGCAGCATCGGCTTTACTATTCTTAGTAGAATAGGCCTTACATAAGCTTTTCAAGTAATAATTCCCAGTGATGCTGTGAAGGGAGACTTAATTAAAACCTTATCTTTCCAGTTTAGTCAGGATGTTCCATTCATTCAAGTATAAAAATGTGAAACAACATTCGGTCAGCCGGGAGCCTGTTAGTTAAAATGTTCTAAATAAGAGAAGTTGATGTTCTATCCCAAAAACACTACACAAATTTCTCTTTCAACAATTTCTATTGTACAGTGGAGGTCTGCAATGATGGGATACCATTAAGAGACAAGCAGCTAACAGGTAATAGAACGTGTCAAGTTATCATCATATATACGATTTGTTTGTAAAAGTGAATACCAGGATCGAATGACGCAACTGAAAGAACCAGCTTTGCATTGCTTCAGTAATAACAAAAAGTTGAGTTGCATGCCGACTGCCTCCTTTAAAATCTTAAGGGCAAAAGCAAAAAAATTGGTTTTTGTTATGCAGTTTGATCAGTTGATCAGGTCCTCCAGAAATGCCCAGGCAGAATCATTGGTTTAAAGTTGTTGATTGCTACCTGGTAATGATACCGAATCAGCTTCCATCTTAAGATGATCTGCAAAAGCAACATGAAGCTCAAGATGTACATATTAGAATAAATCAGCATCTACCTAATGTTTTCTAGATTTGCCGTGATATAAGCATATTGTGACCAGGGAAAATATAGGTTAATCCCTGCTTAAGTTTTGCTCTGTTATGCATAAGTGAACATCAAACCCAAGAAGCATGCATGAAGACTAGCAACACAAAAGATCCATCATATAGTCAGTGTTCCATTTCACCTCTTAAAAAAATGGCATTAAGTAAAGGCTCTTGATATTTATATTACAAATGGAACTATATATATACGATGAATCTTTTGTTTTGTTAGTCTGCATGCATGCTCCTTGTGTTTATCACGGGACTCCCTGGTTACAATACGTTTATCACGGGACTCCCTGGTTACAATATGTTTATCACGGGATTAAACTCAAATTAGCACCATTAAAAAATGAGATAAAGCAACTTTTAGCCCCCGAACTTAGATTTTTGTCATTTTGATGATATAAAATGGTGCTACATGTCACAATCTCAAAGTGACACATCATAGGACTAAAAATGAAAAAAGTTGGCAAGTTTAGAGACTAAAAGTTGCTTTATCTCCAAAAAAAATGCAAAACTATTTTGAGAAATAAGGATTGAAAAAGTTCATTACCCAAGATAACATGTCCTACATTAGTTAAGTCCATTAAAAGAGAGGGTCACGTTACCTTGATGAATTATCACTGTCGGAATCTGCATAAAGTATTGGGTTGAGTACCAAAAAAAGAAAGTATTAGGGTGAAAAATGGGGAATATAACTCATACGAGCAAAACAAAAGGAAAACTTTAAAATTTACCAGTTGATGATCCAGAGCCACTGCTAGAACTGCTTGATCCACTCTCGTTATTTTGTAGTTTTTCTCCATGAACAGGTGACGCGGGAGCAACCTTCTCTTCTGCTTCACAATACAACCGGTTATGATAATAAGTGCATGAAAATTCCATCTTCTTCAGAACCGAACAAGTGAAGAACAGACCAAAAAAGATTAATTTCTAGTTGGCCCATGGTGATTACCTGTTTCAGCTACTTTTGGTACATCTTTAGCAAGTGGTTCCAGATTCTGCAAAAAGAATAACAACAAAATGTTGCAGTGAACAGCAATTCTATACAGCGAAAACAGCTATGATGCTCGAGAATCACTTGTTCATAATCTTACAGTCTCGGGAACATTATGGTCATCTCCAGAATTTTCTTGAAGAGGAACTTCAGCTTTTCTCTTGCTTTTGCTCAAACCCTTCTTATAGTTTGTCACAAATCTATCAAGTTCCCAAAGTGTTTCTGGATCAAAACTGTCAATATCCACCTCAATCTCATCATCTTGCTGGAAAAGTGCTGGGTTCCTCTTCTTAATAATCTGGACAATGCTATCAAGTTCCTCCGAAGGCAAGTTTTGAAGGTTTACACTGAGTCTCTGCTTCTCCTCATACGTCATATCCCTCTTATCAGGTTCCTTTGTCTTAGGTTTCTTTGGTACTGCAATCTTACCAGTAGGAGTCAAGTCCACAGCTCTTGACTTCGGTTCATCGGGCATTGTCATGGATTCTGGTCTCCCCAAAGTCCTAGTTTCTAATGGTAGTGATGAAGGTGCAGGAGTTTGAATTGGAACTGAAGCCGGAGAAGGAGTATGAATCAGAGCTAAAGCTGGAGGTGGAACTGGAGCAGGAAGTTTCCTTGAAGTGGGATTTGGCAAACTGTAATCATGAATCCTTTCATACCCCCTATTAAGGTTATACTCGGATTCTATAGCTGCCCAGTTTTCTTCAAATATCTGAGACAAATTTTCTGCCATAATATGTTCATCTTGTCCTTTTGGGTTATAAAGCATTGCATTACTGAAAGTTAGCCTCACATCCTCCGCAAACTCCCTAGGTGACTTGTACAAATTTTTGTTCAACCTAGTCTTCACTGTACCCAAATCCATAGGATATTTAACAATTGTATAATAATCATGCAGCCCAAGTCCCTTCACATCCACGGGCTTATTAAACACCCAACCAAACTTATGCTTCGTTAACTTCCCTAATAAATTACTACATCTCTTAAACAACTGACTAGAAAACTTCTCCGGCGCAATCCCACCTCTCATTTGACCTCCATTACTCTTCCCACCACTCGGTTTCATCTTCTCCTTACTCTCTATAGGCTTCAACTTCTCCTTCCCTAGAGCAAACTTTGAATTATTATAATACTGATTTGCCTTTGGGTTTCTCTTCTCGTTCTCCACACACACTCTCCCACCACCACCATCATTGTTACTATGATCACGCTCTGCCATTGACACAGATAATCCATGAAAAGACCACGAACTAGGCAATCCTACGGAACCAACATCCGAATTCACTCTAACTGAACTTCCACCGTCTCTATCAACATTCTTATTCCCTGAAACCCGTGAATTTGCATACATCCCATTAAACCTACTTTCTTCCGCCTCAAATTTCTTAATTAAACCCCTAACCTCCTCAAGTTCAGTATCTAGCTTCCTTTTCAAAACTCTAACCTCATTCCTTGATAAAACATTGAAGTTAATCTTAACAATGTTATCATATTTTACGTACCCAGATGTTGCAATCCCATTGGTAGCATTCTTCGCGCCCTGCGGCAACCGATTATGACTAGACAAATCATCCGAAGCCACGGCATCGAAGGGTTGGAGTGGCAGCTGACGCTGGGAGTTGTTATCGTCAGCTGAAGTGGTGGTGGCTAGAGTTCGCTGAGAAGATTGTCGAGGGACAGAGGTGGGATTTTTGGGTTTGTTGTGGATTTTCCTGGTATAAACCTTGTTGTTCTTTGATTCTTCACCCTCAATTGTCCCTGTAGCCATTCATATAAGTAACAAGGTCAAATTTCTATAAATAAAAAAGGGGGCAAACCCCTAATTAAGAAATACCCAGATAGGTTAGACGGTTAGAAAGGGATTTTTTTCCCAGGGGTTTATGCTGGAATTGTACGGAATGATTAAGGTTTAGAAGATATAAAAAAGGCATAGTTTGATGATTAGAGTTTTGGGTTTTTTGCTTTGAATATTGAAAAGAGGGGAAATGCAGGTGTTGGATCCGAACGATTTCTTTCTTTAGTACTTTTCTTCGTTTGTTTCCAGAACGGAGAACACGCGAGAAAGGGTGAGTGTCTGAGTCTGCGACTGAGAGGTGACTAATCACGCGCTAAAGAGAGCGAGTGAGGAAAAGGAAAAGAATGTTTAGGTATAGCCACGTGGATGGTACCTTAATAAAATAATCTTTAAAATTTACGAATAACCTTTAAAATTATTCGAAATGTGATTAAATGTGTATTGATATAAATAATTTATGATTTCTTTTATCATATTTATATATAAAATTTATAAATCTCAACTAACCTAATAAGAATATTTTGTATAATTTTAGCCTTTAAAATTGCAATAATTTTAGCCTTTATGGAATTAAAATATGCTAATTAAAATCTTGTTTCGTAAATAATCTGATTAATGATTTATTTTTAAAATATATTTAATAATTTAAAATAAAATTTATTTAATAGGGTATTTTAATAAAAATTATACAAGTAATAAATAGATCTAAAAACTTACGTCTCATTTAAGGGAGAATATAAACATTTTTCATTCTAATATTAAAATTAACATTTATCAAATACTTAACTATATCGGCTGCTTAATTATAACAAATATATGTTCCCTCCTCTTTCTCTTTTTTCAGGGTTTGTATCACTTTTATAGATCTAATTAATTTTTAAATTTTATTTAGTCGATTACGCTATTGATTTCGATGTTGATCATCAATTGATAATTCTCTTTTTTTTTTTAATTTTTTAATAAGTATAATTATGCCTTTATGACATATTTTTCACCTTCTTTCTCATTTGTTTGGTTGTTTATTCTATTTTATATTTTTTTAGTGTTGGATTTGACGATGCTACAACTTATCAAAATTGCGTTTATTTTTAATCATATTATTCTTTCATGTTCTGGATCATTTGATCGAATTTAAATATGTGATTTTGCGTTCAAAGATAGTTTCTCACGATGTTTAGCTTTGATTCGTGGTTCTCGATGATCGTTCAATAGTTTAATCCTCTTTTAAAGTTTGTTTGTCGATACAATCAAATTTCTTCGAGTTTTTTTGTTGGATTTTTAACATTTTTCATGCATGGTGGTACGTGTATGATTTAAGGTGGATAGTTTCTTGTGTCAATGATATAGGAGACATAGGAGAATGTCCAAATTATGTATTTAATTTACCATCACAGTAGTAAACCACTTATAATAATTTTAAATATTTTTACTTTTTAATAAGAATAAAAGCTTCTGTTAAAAATATATATAACTAAAATATCAAACATACATTCAATACTTAAATTTACAATTTTAACTTCCAAATAGTTAATTCAATTTATCAAAAAGCACCGGCTTCATACGTATCCTTCACTCCATCTCCTGCATGCATTGAAGTTAGTGTTGCAGGCGTTCACAAAATTCCAAGGATCAGCCATGTGAATCCCATAAAAACTTGCGGAAGCTTTCATGGAGATCCGCCATTAATGGTACCTTGCATTAATATCATCGACAATTCCACAATATTCAAACTGATTAAATCACCATCGCTTTCCGAAAACTGCAACCAGCCATGGTTTTGAGACTCCAAAACAGCAGATCCTCTTCTTCAGGTTGTTGCTCCATCAGATTTTCCACCATTTTAACTATAACCGTCCTCTTTACTTCAGTTTATCTCTTCATTTCACCGATCAACCATGGCTCTGAACCATGCTCTTGGACAAGAATAGAAACCAGATTCAATGGTGATCTAAGGGATGCTAAGTTTCCATGGAACAGTCTTTGCTTTGGAAACAATTTCGAGAAGCTTAAGCTTGCAGTATTCTCCAAAACATGGCCTATTGGTACTGCCCCTGGCGGAATGGAACGTCATGCTGCAACGTTATACCGTGCTTTAGCCGCTAAAGGCCATGAAATCCATGTTTTCAACGCGCCGTCCGATAGAAAGCCTCACCTCGACATCCATGAAGGTAATCTTGTTAGGAAATAAACTGAGTACAAGTAATTTCCCTATAACCAGATTAGTAAGAACGCGAAATAAAAGCGGAAAAATAATACCCGAAAAATTGATAACGGAGTTCAGCCAATTTTGCTTACGTCTCCGGACTGCTGCAGATCTTTTACTAAGAGAGAAATTTTACAGGTGTTTACAAAACACTCACTACTCACAAGAAAGCTCTCTAGTATTGGGAGAAAGAAATGATTTTTGGGATGATTTTGAAGCTAAATGAGCTAGGCTATTTATAGTTGAAACTTAGGGACTAATCTTGTAAATACCCTAAAGTTCAATGACTCAATTTTGTAATTATACCTATTATAAAAATAAAAATCAGCAGCCCCCCATTTTTCTTCCCTTAGCAGCCCCCCTGGCTGCTGTCTTTGACCAACAATCTCCCACTTGAAGACTAATTTCAATCTGTCTTCACACATCGATCGATGCAGCAGTATTTCTGGTCTTTTATTCTAGCATGCCAACTGAAGTTGAACACAACTTCAGTTTGTCCGTGGTCACCGTCTTTGTCAACATGTCTGCCGGATTTTGAGCTCCACTAATCTTTTCAAGTTTCAAAATCCCATCTTCCAGAAGAGACCGGATAAAATGATATCTCAATTGTATGTGCTTCGTCCTGGAATGAAAAGACGGATTCTTCGCTAGATGGATAGCACTTTGACTGTCGCAATACAAGACATTGTTTTCTTGTTTCTTACCTAACTCGTCCAAGAAACTTTGGAGCCAAACCATCTCCTTGCTGGCTTCCGTAACAGCGACATATTCTGCTTCAGTTGTGGAGAGAGCAACTATCTTCTGTAGTTGAGAAACCCAACTCACTGCAGTACCTCCTAGAGTGTAGACATACCCTGTAGTGCTCCTTCTGATGTCAATATTTCCGGCTAAGTCAGCATCTACATAGCCTGTCAGTATCGTATCTCCACTTTTGAAACAAAGTGCTTTGTTTGTGGTACCCCGCAGATATCTGAGGATCCATTTGACTGCTTCCCAGTGTACCTTGCCCGGATTATTCATGTACCTGCTAACAGCTCCCACTGCATGAGCAATATCTGGTCTGGTACAAACCATGGCATACATCAGACTTCCAATTGCTGAGGCATACGGCACCTTCACCATGTGTGCACGTTCTTCCTCCGTCTTTGGTGACTGTTCTTTGGAGAGTCTGAAATGAACACCTAAAGGTGTACTTACTGGTTTAGCATCTTGCATGTTGAACCTGGAGAGTACTTTGTTGATGTACTCAGCCTGTGATAACATCAAAGTCTCCGACTTTGTGTCTCTCTTGATCCTCATCCCAAGAATCTGCTTTGCAGCGCCCAGATCCTTCATAGCAAACTGCTTCGACAATTTTTGCTTCAAGTGTATAATCTCTTGCATGTCTGAGCCTGCAACGAGCATGTCATCAACGTACAATAATAAAATAATGAAGCTGTTGTCGAACCTCTTGATGTAGCAACAATGATCTGCTTGGCATCTGGTAAAACCACTGCTACCCATGAAACTATCGAACTTCTTGTACCACTGTCTAGGAGCTTGTTTTAAACCATACAAGCTCTTCTTTAACCTGTATACCAGGTTTTTCTTGTCTGCTTTTATGAAGCCTTCTGGTTGCCTCATATAGATTTCTTCCTCCAAATCACCATGAAGGAAAGCTGTCTTTACATCTAACTGCTCAAGATGTAAATTCTCTGCAGCTACAATTTTCAACACCAGTCTGATTGTAGACAGTTTTACGACTGGAGAGAAAATTTCATTGTAGTCAATACCTTCTTTTTGCTGAAAGCCTTTGACAACCAATCTTGCTTTGTAGCGTTTTCTCCCATCGTGCTCTTCTTTGATCCTGTAAATCCACTTGTTATGGAGCGCTTTCTTGCCTGGTGGTAATTCAGCTAATTCCCATGTCTGATTTGACATAAGCGAGTCCATCTCATCTTTCATGGAAGACTCCCACTTGACTGAATCCTCCACTTGCATTGCTTCATCATAGCACTCTGGTTCACCATTGTCAGTTAGCAACAAGTAGTGCAAAGAAGGAGAATACCATTGGGTTGGTTTAGGAATTCTGGAGGAGCGTCTCAGTTCTGGTGTGCTTGGTTCTTCTTGAACTGCTTCAGGATTGATCTGAACATCATTTCCAGAAATCTCCTCAAACTCAGCAAATTCCTTTGTTTCAGCTTTGGTATTTGAACTGCTTGATTCTACAGTTGACCTGTCTTTGTACATCACATTCTCATTGAAAATGACGTCTCTGCTTCTGATGATCTTTCGATTTTCGTAGTCCCAAAACCGATAACCGAACTCATCACCGCCATAACCAACAAAGGCACATTTGCTGGACTTAGCATCAAGTTTACTTCTTTCAGCAGAGTCTATGTGTACGTAAGAAATACAACCAAACACTCTTAAGTGTGAAAGGTTTATTTCTTTCTTGCTCCAAGCTTCCTCTGGTATTCCGCCATCCAAAGGAACTGAGGGCCCACGGTTGATCAGGTAAGCTGCAGTGTTGATAGCTTCAGCCCATAGAAATTTGGGCAATCCGGCATGTATTCTCATGCTTCTAGCACGTTCATTCAGAGTTCTGTTCATGCGCTCAGCTACGCCATTCTGCTGCGGTGTTATGGGAACTGTTGTCTCCATCTTGATCCCATTGTTTGCGCAGAAATCTCTGAATCTATTGTCTCTGTACTCTCCTCCATTGTCAGACCTCAACCGCTTGACTTTCAAACCAGTCTCATTTTCCACCATGGCCTTCCATTTTCTGAAGGTATCAAAGACTTCTGATTTCTTCTTCAGAAAATAAACCCACACCTTCCTTGTTGAATCATCGATGAAGGTGACATAATATAGTGAGCCTGCAAGAGATGAAACTGGGGATGGTCCCCATACATCAGTATGAACCAATTCTAACCTTTCTGCCTTGGGTGTCTTGCCAATCTTTGTAAAGCTGACTTTCTTTTGTTTGCCAAAGATGCAATCCTCGCATAGTCCGACATC